GAATATGCGTATCCAGCATATCAGCTGAATCGTCCATTGCGTTCAGTGTTACTTTACCCACGTATAAGTCCAATTTATCATATCAATTGTCGACCATATCATATCAACTGGCAACGAGGTTATGTAACACGATTTCCTATTCCAGCTCCACTTGAGGACCACACTGAATGGTCACTTCAGAGTTTGTGAGATCAACCTCATTTCCTGCACTTTTCGGGTAATAGGTTCTTGATTGGTTCGTTGCTAAGTCCCTTATCGCCTATCCCATTCTGTCCATCTGATCTTCACGATGAGGCAGAGTCGGTTGTAGACAAACGTCTGATGTCTGTCCTCAATGCTTCTTGTGATACACCTAGTCTCTGCACCATATAAGAGAAGTGACTGACTTGAAACTAATGTTGAAAAACCGCATCTTATGCTTTATATTGAGTGCAGGAGATTCGCACACTGATTTCAATTTAATAAAGGCCAGTTTGATCTTTCCTATCCTAATTCGTGTTGTCGCCCGTAGTTCAAGACGATGCTGCCTGGATAAGTGAATGAAGTGACCTCTTTCAAATTTCTACCGTTGATGGTGAATGGTGCTTGTTGTTGTTCACTTATTTGCTTGAATTCCTGTCTTCACTGTCTGCTTTTTCTGCCATTTGGCTGGCTTCCTCCTGTGGATTCTCTAGTCTGTGTGACATTTGACATAAATCCTCTGTGATCACCTGGGATTTTCTCACCCATTAAAAAACCTTCTAACCTCTCTTAGCCATGACAATATTGGGGCTTGCGTTCAAGCTAAGCCAGTAGTAAGACTGTTAGATAAGGAAGGTTGGGCATGAGGTTAGCAACATCTTGTAAAAATAATCACCACCGCTACAGGAACTTCAAGCCTCTAGCTTGAGGCCCTGTGTTTCACTGGGAACGTAAAGGAATGAAAAAAAAACATATATCGTCATGGCTATGCGAAACGCATCTCGAATTATTTGGCATGCGTTGCACAGCGTTGCACCAATATGTTAGCAACTATGATTTGATTTCTTGTAGTTAGTATGCAAAGCGAAATCAACAGCGATATGACAAATAAAAGTCATCAAAAAGTCATAAAAGTTGTTTCAGTCTGTTATAACTCAAAGTGTAGAGGAACGAAATGACATCTAGAATTTATATTATAAGGAAACTAATTAGTATTTTAGGAATGATCACAGTCTGAAACTTTTATAAAAACTACGACAAAATTTATTGAAATTGAATCATGACACAGAAAAATTGTATTTCAACAAAAGGTGGAATCTTAATTTGTGGTAAAGAATTCCTGAAGATTAATCAGATATGTAGTAAATAGATATCAGTCACGCAGCCATTAACACGATGAAGCATGCAGATCATCTTTGTTCTTAGAATGTGTGACTCCTCGCATATACTTAAGGTGAACGCCATGTGTTGACACTAAGTACTGAATTATCCAACAGAATAGAGATACGTTTACCACCCTCATCAACACAAACTACATCTACGATTTCGCCTCCACATGCCGTAGCACCTGCACAGGATGAACTGGGAGAAGTGCATATACTGTATTTCCTAAGAATATCCCTAACAGTCTTCGCAAGAAAAGTACAATCATTAGGTGCCTCCTAAATGACATGGGGCATGCAGTTATGGAACATTTTTTTGAATTACCTTTGTCAGACAGCTTCTAAGAACTTCTCCAATTATAATCCTTCTAATCCACTTTCACTCCTTTATGCTCTTATTTCCTGTTAATTATATTCAAATTATTATCTACTGCCTAATTAGTTAGTCGTACACATACTCCACTATTATTTTTCACACACTGATGTTTCTTATGCACTCTGATTTATCTTTTTCGCAGTTGCAACTGAAGGAAATATACTCCAGAATCAGTTTTTCCCACATGATCCTTGAGCCAGATATTCAATTTTAACCTAATTTAAACTTCACATCTTTGATTAGAGACTATCTTATCAAAACACAGTGTTTTTTAAATCGTGAAATAGGGATTTATTGGTCATATAAGGCTAGTGTATGTACTTAGCTACAGCTTCTGGTGATACTGCCTTTTTTATGGATAAATAAATCTCTACCTTCTCGATCAGACTACTGTATCTTCTTAGTATGGAAAAATCACTCTCGTGACTAATCGTATCCTCGACAGAGTGTTGGAGAAACTGTAGAATGAACGCAAATCCTATCACAACAATTCCGCGATGAGCAACAAATCCCTCACTTTTGAACAAGTGCCGTCAGTGTTACAGAAGCAACAGAAAAAGTATGTAGAATCTCAAAGTAAACTAATCGAATGTCTTACTAACAAATTGTCTTTTTAGTCATTCAGTCAATCTTATACTGAAAAAATGTATTCTCTCCTAAAGTTCCTGAAATTACTTTTGATTCATAGTTTGGAAGGGTTGCAGATTTATTTAAATTTAGACAGTGCAGCAAAAGGTAGTATTCCCCTCCGCGAATTCTGATGCACTGAACGTGCATATGTGGCACGCATATGTTAATTTCCTTTAGCCAAGATGCACTCATAATGCAGATTTTGATGAAGCCCGTCAAATCCCCCATAATATATATATATATATATATATATATATATATATATATATATGAAAGCAATGCATCATTATTCAGTGTCCGCAATATATAATTCACTTTATCCAAGTAGTCTAATGGTGATTATCTTACTTTGCTCGTGAAAGCAGTCGTGCAGAACAAAGCTTTCATTTGGAATCAGCCACCTATGATCAGTTCAAATGCACGATATTCACATAGTATTTTAATTTTTTTCACTGACCAACACTAAATTCAAATTTTTTTAACACGACTAAAATGAATCAGTGTATAACAGAAACAGTCACAAATTTCATCACTGCTGCCAAGTACTACCGTGCCCTGGTATTTCGTTTGATGCCACTACCTCCAACCAGGTGAGGTTGATTTGACCTTCAGCTTTCTTAGAAGGAGACTTCTGAGTCTTTCTTTGGGATTAAGAAACATTTCCTACACTGGTGGGCGTCCGAACTGCGCCAGCAAAAATGGCGGTGCCGCAAACGCTGGGGAAATTTAACTTTTCAAACTAACCAATATTATTGTGAGTATCACTGTTATTATTTCTTTTAATTCATTGAGGAACATAGGGCTTCAGCCGCACATCTCCATTACTTTTGGTTCTCTACCAGCATTTCCACCTGACTCCATGTCTGCCAACATGCTTTCATCTCCTCTTCACATGACCTCCTCCATGTCTCCCTCGCACCGACGAACAACTCGCCGCCTCCCATTCAGGTTCCATTGCAGCGATGGCCTGGCGGGTGATGTCACTTGATGGTTTACTTTCTCAGAGTATGGCCAATCCAATTCAACTCCATTTCTTTCTGCACATTTGTCGCACAATTGGTTCCTGGTTGGTTCGCTCCCACAGATCCTTCCCTGTTTCTGATCTTTTCTGGCTGGCCATCTGATCTTGAGTATTGAGAGGAGAAAGCTGTTGATGAAAGTCTGAAATTTGTTCGAGGTGCTCTTCGTGACGCGCTTAGTCTCTGACTTCCCATTGGAGTGGAAAATCCAGAACTTATTTTTGATGCATAGTGCTGTTGACCTCCACACAGAATCGAAAGTAATGAAAGCTTGCCTTGTTTTCCGGATCCTCGCTGTTTTGATATACTTGTCAGTTCCGCCTGTAGTTAAAACGATGCTTCTTAGGTAGGTAGGTAGGTAGGTAGGTAGATAAAGGAGGTTGGTTCTTTCAGATTTCTCCTATTTATGCCGACTGACTGTTTTCTGTTGTTGTTGTTGTTGTTGCTAGTGTTGGCCAGGAATCTTCATCACCTCTGTTTTCTCTATGTTCACCTGAAGGCTTGCCTATCTTCTCTGGATGCTTCTTCTGCTAACTTGTTGCTTTTCACTTGCATATCTTCCACTTTGTGTGAAATCAGACATATATATTATCGGTGAAGTGCAGGTCCTCCAAGTATTTGTGTGGGTCCATTTTATGCCAGTCTCCCTGTTGCCCGCCGCTGTCTGTTGAACTATCCAGGAAAATCATTGAAGACAGTAGGCAGCCAACCTTGTCTTACTATCATTTTAACTTCGAAGAAATCTGCGAGTTTCCCGTTGTGGATTACTTGGGATGCAACATTTTCTTACAACTGTTGGATGAGGTGTATAATTGTTGGCGGCACCCCGTAGTAGCGGAATAGTTTCCAAATCATCTCTCGATCGACGCTGCACTATCGAAGGCCTTTTCAAAGTCAGTGAAGTTTAGATAGAGAGCTGACTGCCATTCCGAGCTCTCTCCAATCATGATGCGTAGTGTTGCTATTTGATCGATGCATGACTTGTTTCTCGTGAATCCACACCGTTCCAGTCGAAGTTTTTCATCCAGGGCGTGTTCGATTCTCTCCAGGATGATGCGGCTTAGTATTTTCCTTGGGATGGACAAGAGCATAATTCCGCGCCAGTCTTGGCATTGACTTAAGTCACAGTTAACACAGTTTCGTATTCTAGAAAAGTCCCATGAGTGTAATTTTACTCCTGAGACTTTAGACATAATTCATTGATTTTTGTCTCGATTGCGGCGTCTTCATTTCATCTGTCACTAAAGTCTGATTCACAGTCACTTCTACAACTTGTTTCTCAACAGATGAAGTGTTTCTGTTATGCCTTACTTCAAGATAATGTTTGTTTTGTAGCATTGCTTGAAAATAAGCATCATTCGAAAAGGAACTGGTGTTGTGCACTCAACTGATTTATTAATAATAAAAGATAAATAAGTTATCTAATAACAGAAAGGAAAATAAGCAAATGAAAACTATATCTATACAGAGTGCACAGTAAATTGTCACAAAAGCTGCTGTACAAAACAATGAAAGAATAAATGAATCAAAGCAATGTGAATAAGCAGAATATCAAAATAATCTATTCTTGTTGTTGTTGTTCGTTTTGACATTTACACCATTACTGTTATTACTATTACTATTACCAATACCATTATTATTACTTTATAAAATCATTGATATCCAAGCTAGTAGTAACGTTAAGCCACCGATTGGCGCAAATTTAGATGCAGATTCATTACCACTGATGGCTACATAATAACACGAACCAGAGAATAGAGTTGTACCAATCACCAGTAGTGTTGTTGTCTGATGATAAGTAATGAAAAAAGGCGATAAACAAAATAAGAAGAGATTTTTATCCTTTTCAAAATTATTCAGGATTAGATTGGTCAGTAGTGCTTCAAGTTGAGAGACCTACTTGCAGTAAGCACCATATCAGCAGTAGTTTACCATTTAACGACATTTTATAAAAAAAAGGAGGTTGAATTTAATTCATATAACTGTTTAGTTATAAAATACAAGTGACTGAATACTTTCAAATGAAGCATAACTCAATGAGTCCATTGAGAAGTAAACGTAAAGAGATTTACTGAATAATCGAAGATTCTATGGTATATACAATTCCTCATTCTTCTATAGAAACGCCCACACTTGCCGACTCACCTGATTGAATTCATATGATTTATAGGGTAATGCTTCATAAGTGATTACTCCATGATGATCTCAAGGTGAAGACAAGCTGTAAACTAATAGCTGGTAAAACAGCCATATTGATGTCTTCAACGATGTCAAATTTATTCAGTATCAAAAAACACATCAAAAAGAGGAAAGAATTACAAGCAACAATGAGTGCGCAAGGTCCACTTAACCTTATACTTGATGAATCTAAGATATTTTTTGGTTAGAAATGATTGTTAGGAATAATTGTGTATTTCATTCACTTATCCTACCTTACTAAACTAGTTAATATTTCTCCAGTCATATATCTGATATGAAAATAAGATATCAATTTAAACTCGTCCACAAACTGACGTCAAACAAATAACCACTGAAAACCGAAGGACACTGCACAACTTTTGCTCCTCCTTTGGGGCTCTTCTTCATTACAAATCAGAAGTATCAAATACAAGACAAAATTCTTCATTAGTCAATCCTGGATATTTCCCAATTTCAGAGAGGAATGAAAACTGTGGTTTTTACCCATTTTTCGTGATAGCATAAAACAGACACGTACCCTAACGTGCATGACAACCATTTGAATAAGTCAAAGACTTATATGCCATTCGGACAGAATTACGTGTCTAGGGACAGATTGTGAAATGGATTCGGTTCGTATTCTAGATCAATCAGCTGTATGTACCTCCGTGCATCTCTGTCAGTTTTGGAATATCTACTAAGACCATAAATCAGCATCTACAATGTTTTAAACGCCAAATATTTATCCACTGGACTACTGAGCCAGAGAGAAACCTTTAATTTTCAAAAATAACAACTGATAACTGTCCCATAGAGCGTTTAATTGCAGCAACCATTCTAGGTCAACTTTATGCCAACAAAGACCCTAACCATTTCTCTCCAGTAAAACCAAACATTGGAAAATTTGAAAACTTTAATAAATACAAGCTGTGTTCTGTAAAACAGATACTAGTCATGGTACCTGCGTTATACATTTAACATCAGCCATACTCCAACATGTGGCCCTGTGCAACGTATGAGAAGTAGCAAAAATAACTTTACAGATTGATGGATGTCGTGTCACGTGAAACAACATGAAGACACACTCTTAAAAAGAATGCACCCTTCAAACTTTTATTGGGAGTATGCCTCCACTTTTCACTTCTGCTGTAATTACGTATGTAGTTTCGTCATTGGTCAATATCACCTATTGCACTCAGAGCTCTTTTTGATTTAACAGAATCGAAAATCGTCTATCTATGTACATACACTGGAAATTAGTACTGTCTTTGCAAACGTATTATCTCCTTCTACTAGAGGTATGCATTCGACTTCGACTTTCTGCATATAACAGAAATTTTAAAATTTCCCAGTACTTTAATTTGTGGATGGTGTCTAACAGTAGAATCCAGGATGCGCATTTCGTCCTATTTGGGACTCGTCATCTGGATGTACTTGCATCGACGGGAAAATCTAAAATCCAATTAAATAATTCACCAGTACTTGCTATATATCTGATAGCGTACTGTTAGTAGCTTACCGCTGAGTTATGTCTTACCCTGATAAAAAAAACGCCAAAATGAGATTCGAAATCAGTTCATAAAGTCAGTAACAGTTCATCAAAGTAGTCCCCTTACTTCATTAACTTTTTTAATGAATATTAAATGAAACAGATGAAGAAGCCTCACAAAAACAAAATTATGTTCATTCGTCACCTTCCTTAAAATAATGAATTGAATTTACCGTAAATCTAACTTCTTTTTCATTGTTCCTGTCTTCCCTTGAATTCACTTCAATATCATTTTGAAATTCTTGTTTTCTGGTTTACGCCGTTTCAGAATATGATATCTTAAAATAGTAGCCTTCATCGACGCATTACAATCAATTCACCTGTGTCTATAGTTCAGTGCCACCTAACCATGACCTTAAATAAAAAACTTTACTGATCGCTGATAGTACGTCACAATATATATGTTTGACAGGCTACGAATGGAAATGATTTTTGTTTATGTTTTAATAAAGAAGATAAGTTGTAAGGTGAATATCACAAGAACAGTCACTTGTCTGCCTATTACCATAGATTCACTTCAGAATCCTCCTCAGTCTCTCTTCTCTCCCTTTGTCTTTATCAAAATCTGGTTTTATCTTTCAGAAGTAGGTGATAAAAGTAAGAAGCAGTAAACATAGCACGAAGCCAAAAAGATTACACCACAGTTATTAATATGACCAAGTGAGTATCGCACAGCAACGGATTATAGTGACTTGTCGTCTGTTCGACTTTGAAGTTTTGACGGCAGTTTGTGAGAGAAAACAATAATTTCTCTCGTATACAGCCGATATTATAAAGTTCACATAAAAAGTAAGATCTTACCAGTATTGGGTGTTTTGTATTTGATGCTTGATTTATTGCTAACGAGTGTATTAGATGATAGTGTGCACCCATCTGAAAAATCTTCTTATATTTACCATTTGTCTCCCATAAACCTATAAAATTAGATGTAAAGCTAAGTTAAAATTGGGAAAACAAGACATTGTTCAACTAAAAAAATGTTCAGAAAATGTTTCCTATTAGGCAAATGGCAATAGTGACTATTTACTAGGGATTTCAAGGTAGCTGAAGTTCTACTTCACTGTGTGTATAAACTATCAGCCTTAAGTGGAATAAGTATTTGTAGGCTACTCCCAGGAATCAACAATCACCCTTAGAAGGCCGTAGATTGTTTAAATCTGTTGGAAACTTCCTTTATTCAGTCGAGGAACCAGAATGACTCATCTCATAAAGAACTGTGGAAATCACCCGAATTCAAATAGCTATTTGGATAGAGTAGGGATATAAAGAATTCGGTATAGTATTTGTAAACCTACACTCTGTGGTGAAACTCACCAGCACAGTATCTCATAGCTGTAGCAAGAACAGCTGCCCAACTATCCGTAAATGTCACGCAACTCTGAATGTTCATAAGTAGCGAATAACGCTGAAAGCTAAGATAAGATTTATTTTGTTTTATTTATTTTTATTTTTGATTACAGCTTGATTCCACACTGTATTTTTGGTACAAGTATGGAATTTTCAGCGTGGATATCGGTAGCCCAAAATTCGCAGGCCGACCATAGATATCAAGTGTGCGTCGGCGTGGGCTCGAACCCCGGACCATGTGCATGGTCGGTGAGAGTCCTAACCACTGTGCCACCGACGCACAAGATGATGACATATTTTTTTCAGTTTTCTCATAATTTGCATTTCTGGTGTTGAAACATAAAATGTAGAAAAACTGAAATAAAGTTAACTATGAATAATGAAACAAGTCGTTTATATGAGAAGACGTGTGTACCAATATTTATCATTATTCAACCTTTATTTCTGCACAGTAATGCAGAAAATAATATTCAGAAAATTGACAAAAAGCTCACGCAACTATTTTCATAGTAATAAAGTTCAATCATTATTATTGTAGAAATTTCTCGACTTGAGATTTCAGTTGCCAGTGTAAGCCTACCTGAGTTCTCTTTCTCACTTTCTGTCATCTATTCTTCAAAGTATTCTTGTCATATTTATGCAAGTAGCAACAACACACACAGTCTACTATTAACTACAAAATTCCGAAACGCTTTCATTAATTTTTGTATGCATTTTTTGTATATTCTTCCTCATTAAATTTAACTCATAATGACTGGAAAAAAGTGTTGAAAATTAGATATAATTTTGTTCAGATTGTTACAAGGTTATACTTCCTTAATGAGTTGGCGATTAGTTTCTGTAAGTATGGCATGTACTTTGCGCCATCTAAGTGCAAAGTACTGTTACAAGATTTTCAGGAGCCTGTACCTGCACTCACTCTTGCAGGTGAGCCGCTCGACGTTGTGGATAAGTTTGTGTATGTGGGTAGTTGTGTGAGTGCTGGTGGAGGGGTGACGGATGAGATTTCCAACCGTGTCATGAAAGGTAGGGTGAGAAACTTTCAGTTGAATCACCTCTGATGCCGTCGCGACGTTAGCCTGGCTGTCTAAGGTCGAGTACACAATGCTTCGGTGTGGCTGTCTTGCTCTACGCCTGTAAAACCTGGCTTCTCTGAGCTGAAGATGTACGGCAACTCTGTGTATTCGGCCATCGCCGTCTCCGCAGGATTTCTTGTGTTCAATGAGATCACTGTTTGGGCAATTCTTAGGTCCGGTGGAGTGTGTTTGGTCACCGTGTAGATCACTGTTGAGTGTTGTCATCTGGAAATATGGCTTCGGTGGCTTGTATATGTGTTGCGAACGTCATCCCAGAGGCTCCCGTACTGGTTTCTGTTCTCTGGTCCTTGAACGGGATGGAAAAGGAGGAGAGGTGGTCAGTCCATGACGTGGCGTTGTGGGATGGAGGATATTTGTGCCAGATTAGCATCGGTTGTTGCGTCACGACTCCCTGGTTGGGGTCCGACAGATAAATGGAAACGTTATCGGATATGGCCGAGAATCGTAATCAATGGTGAACGTGTTGCAATTTCCTTCTTTCTTCCCTTCCTGATGATAGTTAACGAATACTGTTTGAAGTTATTAAGCATGACTGTTTTCCCTCCAGATGAAGTTCTTTATCCGTTCTCTACTTATATTTTTTTACTTTTAATCTACGTTGTTTCATTATTATTGTGCGGCGCATCTTTCTTGGTGTCTTATTGTACCAAGATTTTTTCTGCGTTTAAATAAATAAATACTTCCTTATCTCTTATCGATTTTCTACAATATTCAGAAATATACATTCCAGTAGTTTGAATATACCCAAAATTTATTTAGAATAACAAAAAACAAAGCCTCGGCTAGTTTACAAGTGCGCTAGTCTTCAGCTGGTCCTAAGCCCGAGGAAACAGAAGAGGTAGGCGTGCGGTTAACGACTCTACCCCAGGAAACCTATCCAATCACCACACACACTTCAAAGCACAAGAAGAAACTATAAAAGACAGAATTATTCTCATCTGGAATCAGAGAGACGAAATGATGCGGACTAGCCAAAGTCTTAACGAAGTCAGTCATCTGATGTGTCTTTTTTGATGAAAGCAAAAATAAGCATGGAAATGTGAAATGTCCGTACAACATAAGAAGCTGAGAAGGCTGCTCAGGTAGCCAAAGAAATGATAAAATACGATGTTTAAATGGTATGAATCTGCGAGAGCTGATGTAATGAATGTGAACTATCCAAATTGTCAGCTGTAGAGTCAATAATCTACTCTGGACACCCAGACGACAACCATGAGCACACTGAGGGAGTCACTATGATGATGTCACCAACAGCAGCCGAACCTCTTATGCAGTGGGAACCAATCTCCTCCAGAATAATGACAGCTATATTCAACTCAAAAGAAGGGAAGTGAGGTTACAATCATCCAGCGCTACGCACTGTACTACAGTCAACTTTGAAAAATTAAGAAGGAAGATTTCTATAGACAACTACAAACAGTAATGGACCACATCCCAAATGGAGACTTCTAAATCCTTAAGCGAAATATGAATACAAGCCAAACTGAAAACAGACAATACAGGAAAATAACTCATCACATGTCGAGACATTCTCACTCAACTAAATGAATGAGAACGGAGAAGAGAGGAAAGTGGTGAAACAGAAGATGACTCAATTCAGAGATGGACAAGAGAAGGAGAAGCTGAGTTAAATACACATCTCACTGAATAAAGAAGTGAAGAAGAGTGTTAGGAAAGACAGAAGATAATCCTAAGACACAGTGCCAAGTGAGGCAGAACAAGTGGGCAGAGGGTAAAGGAGACTCGAAAAACAACATATCAGATAACCAGATCTCTCTCCGAGAACAGATCAATACAGAATGAACCAACAGGAGGTGGTTCAGAGAACATAGTTACCCAGGAGGAGAGGCAAATCAAAGAATAGGCTGACCACCTCAAAAGACTGTTGAACTGAATATCACCTGCAACTTGTCCACAAATACCACCAACAGCATACACAGAACTGCCAGTGGATAATAATCCTCCAACGAAAGCGGAAATTTCGAATGTAATCAAACTACCGAAGGCCATGTGGGAAAGCGGTCGAACCAGATGAAATTCCCTCCGAATCAGTGAAAATGAATCCAGCCACTGCGTCAGATGTTCTCACACCATTATTGCAAAAGGTTTGGAGAGAAGGAAACGTGTTTACTGACTGGAAGAAAGGCTATCTTTTCAATGTACCAACGAAGGACGTCTTAGGCCTCACTCTGTAAGAAATGGCGTAGAATAATGATCATGTCCACGCCAAGTAAAACACTGAGTCGTGCCACCACCCACTGGAATAAGCTGGATTCAGAAGAGGCAAGTCATGTGCTGACCAAATTCTAACTACACGTATCATTACCCAACAAAACATAGAATATGAATCGAATCATTACATCAACTTCATCGACTTCGAAAAGGCCTTCACCAGACAGCCTTGACCGAGAAGTAATTTGGAAACTACTTCGACACTACGCTACGGAGTGTAATCCCCCAAACCTTTATCAACCTCATTCAACAACTGCTTACATGACAATGTCACATGTTAATCAGTTGATCTACATCGGAAAACTCAGTGGGGCATTCGAAGTGAATACAGGAGTATGATATTCCTCACAGTGGTCGACTGGATTAGGCATCAGACGGTGCGTAGGGAGCAAGAATAGAGGAGTACGCCGAACCACCGGTAAGAAGACTCTGGAAGATCAGGATTTCGCGGCGGATGATTCATATCTAATGTCACACAAACTGTAAGACTTGCAGGCAGGAGAAAAGCAACAAACTAGCGGAAGAGGCTAGCAGGCAGCAAAGACATGACTGCAGTTGAAAATAGAGGAGACGGAGGTGATGAAGATAACCAATCACCATCAAGAGCGACAACAACCAGAACTAATCAACACCGAAGGTAGAGATTTAACAAAGGTTACTTCCTTCATTTATCTAGTAAGCATCCCTCCAACCACAAGTGAAACCGATGAAGATATCAAAGCCAAAGTCGGAAAGGTGAGCTACTCCTCCACTACTCTCAAGTCGATTTGGAAATCTTCTGCATTTGGCCTAAAGAACAAAGTTAGAATTTCCCCACCAGTGTTAAGCCAGTCCTTCCATATGAGTGAGAAACTTGCCAGATCACGAGAAACATCTCCAACAGCCTGCTGCAGACTTTTATCAATAGCTGCCTTCGCTCCATATTGAAGATCAAATGGCCAGAAATGATAAGCAACAAGAAAATCTGGGAATGAATCAATCAAGAATCTAGTGCTGAAGAAATACTCCGGAGTAAATGGAGACAGACCGGACACAGGCTGCGAAAACCATTGGATGGCTTTCTTCATCATTTTAATTCCACTGGTTGTTCGTCTTCATATAATGATGACCACAGAGTACTGTGGACATGTAGGACATATACACCAAATTACATTGTATATTTATATACAGTCTGCCTGATCGGTTGCCACATCAATACGAAATTGCTACTACATTTCTAGTTGTTCTTGCCTGATTCTGTTTATGAGTCCCCGTTAGTGCATAGTGCAGAAATTACCACCGAGTTTAATTGTACAACAGTTTAATAACTTTAAAATATACACCACAGATTACACTTGATAAAGCCAAAATATAAGCTGCCAGTTATAAAATTTCAGAAGAATTGTTGGTTTTTCAAGCCAGATCGAACAGCTAACTGTCCTAGTCAAATGGGTAAGTTTAAACTTACCGTATGATGGTTAGCAATCACCAACTGGGAACACTCGATGGCTATTGCAAATATTTACAATTAAGTAGTTCTTTAACTTTTCATCATCTTAGAAATCATTATGTTTGCCTCATCTAGGCCGTGTTTCGGAGAAGTTAAGATATAGCAGGCACCACCAATAACGCGACTAAAGAACTCTTAAAACGTACCTGAATCAATCCCATCACCATGCTTGCCACTGCATGTATTCTGTCCATAGTTTACCCTTCATCTGCTGTCCCAACTTTTTATCTAGATACGGAATTATCCGTTGCGGTTAACTGAGGGTGTTTATTACAACATTTAAGGAGAATTAAAGCTGTCTTATATGTGAGAATACGATCAAGTAATAAATTTAGCTGTCCTAAAGTCGATTGACTATGACTGGTTCTTCAAAATTATTTAAAAGGTTATTGGTAGTGACCGCTATAGTTTAATTTCACTTTTTTGCGTACACTCAAATCGAACTGTTGTAGTGTCATTTTATTCTCTCCTTTCAAGTGATTTTTGTGAAATGTGACAAAACGAACTAGAATCCATTCGTTTAAAGTTTCAGGTTTATTTGTCTAGTTGTCATGGTATGCTTATCTTCTAAAGTTACTTGTGGTGGTGCTAGAGCAGGCTCCATAATCTTTCACCGACCCCTTGACAATCAGTCAGCATATAGACTAGCTATATGATCTTACAAGTGATTAAAAATCCCCTAGACTACTGAATCCATGATATTAATTACTTTCAAACGCGATTAATATTTCATGACGCATAAAATAAAATAATGACAATTAAACGCAGATACCGTCAACCCCTAGAGTAGTATTTCGCATAAGTCGTTAGACATTCTACCATTGAGCAGAAGTTGGAAATGATTTCATTTCCATGATCTATCAGACTTATAATTTTCTCCCAACTAAAGTTGATAATTATGAGAAAATTTTTTACCAAGTGAAAGTGTCACCAGAAGAACTCACTTGGTTACCGTATATTGTTACTTTGAATAGATTTCGCAATGTAATCCCACCTAAACATTTATGTCCGAAAATCTCCCATTATTGAACTGTTTTAAATCCGAATTTCATGAGTGGTAATTGAAACCCCGAAGGTGAAGGAGATGGCAGGAATAAACAAAGTATTGCACAATTTCTCGCTCAATGGCCTGTCGATGTATAGTCAAGTATATAAGCAGGTACAAGCTGATAGTCCATCCATACAATCCAGTCTCATTTACTCAACAGAAATATTCTTCCCTACTAAATCAAGTGTTTCGCACACCAAATGGGAATTGATGAAATAAAAGGTTACAAACCATCGACATTTCTATCAAGTTGACTTTTGGCTTACTTCAGCCAATTGGTCAATGCATAAAATAATTCGTGAAAATCATATTATTACTCATGAGTAGTTAAATGCGTATAACAGCGTTTTATTCATTTACCGAGTGTTCCATAGGCACACGCTAACAGTGCTAAAGCACCATAGATACCACCTATTCTAGGGATCCATTCACACATTGAATTCAGCTGATTATTTGCTCCATACTGTATCAGGACATTTGAAGACTTTTCATTGGCTAATAATTCAGTTATTCTACTCAATAAATTAGAATCAGATTCCGGAATACGAATTATGTTGAAAAAGTAGACCATCTTATCGTCTAACCATGATACATTTGCATTATTCACTAATTTCTACAGGTATGCATAATTTATTTTAGAATTAATAAGAGGATGGAAAAATTCAAATCTTAGCTTATCGATCTCTGTTATTGAACTACTTGTCTACTTAGCCTCTTTCTATGGTGGGAAATAACAGGTGTAGACTGGTAGAATGTATTACAAAGATGCACATTTAGTCACAAACCACTCAGACAGAAGAGGGCTACTCACATAGCCAGGGGCAACCCAATCCAGATAGGTCTAAATGACAGAATAAATGAGTTTAGTTCGCTTATTGTATTTAGTATACAGTCTGCACCAAACAAACGACTAGACACATTACACTAGTTACTAACTAGTGTCCAACCAAAAATAGCCTATATAGCCCTATGGGAGTTCAGTCATGAGCCCGAACGGTTCATTGGTAACTGCTCTGAATACAGCACTGGGTGACAAGGTTCCGAATCTCATAAGAGACATGAATACCTTCAAGGTTTCAGATACACCTTGTTGACGAGTACCAACATGCATGAAACTTAGGTCCAAGACTTCCTTCCGATTGATTACATCAAATCATCTGATGTCGATGTACAGTATCGTTATTTGGTAATATTTCTGTACAAGTTACATAGCCTTTCACTCAACTAATAAAGCCATTCATTGTAAAATTTCTATGAATATGACTGTAACGATATATGTAGGGGACTAATATTAGAGTTCACTAACATTACAAATATAAAAATAATAATCCAAGTCAATGGAGTGTTAAATCACAATATATTACCAAAAATACAGTGACGAGTTATATCAACAAAAAGGATTACTTGGATATAAAGTCTAAGTCCTCTGTTACAAATTATTTATATAATCCACGCGTACGTTAACTGTTTGGACTGTGTCTGCTGTAGCTGCTGTGTTCCGGTTGTAGAAATGTCTTCGGTTGAGAGTAGTAGACTCCTACAATAAATCCGAAGTATGCAACACGGTGTGAGTTGAGCAAGTAAGCAGAAGTGACCAGGGAGAAGACGAAGTCTCCAACAGCAGAGTGTATTTTTCAATTGTACACGGAAGTTATGTATATTTCAACAAGAAGCGTTTTAAACAAAAATTATGTACAATATCTCTAATTTTTACAAATAACCAAAAAGTGTACAATCACATTGTTATGTACTCCACATATATCATGACTTCTTTTGCGTTTCATCTGAACATTTTGTCCTGTAAACTTCAAGTAACATGTGGTAATAAATACTATCGCACCCACTTATTAAACAAGTTCATAAGCTGTCATGTTGCTGAATCTATACCGCAGAATGAAAAATTTCAGTTATAATTGCAGGCAGGAGGACAGGTGGTTCTAGATCCATGAAATTGACTATTGGAAGCTGTGTGACAGCCTTGACACGATAATATCCGATACAGTGTGTTCAAATGATGATCCATTAAACAATAACGCATACATTTTGAAACTTACAGAGTGCTACACGTACTAAAAAGTATGATAGATCACTGGTATCACCAACTCAAGGAGTCACATTATGAGTTAAACTGACTATTTACAACATATTTCATAGAGACACCTAGAAACCTTTCATTAGTAGCTTCATCTGAACTGATAGCTCCAAACAGACTTATAATGGTAGACTGAGAACATGGCGAGGAGCAAAAGTGCCTCAAACTTGAGCTGAACAAAACTCCGTGGACTGTAGTGGATGACGAAAGTGAAAGAATTGGAAATTAGTGTACACCAACAGTATTACACTATTTCGTAATTATTTCGTAACAAAAATAAAGGGATGAACCCTGAGAGTATATCGCAGGATTATAGGTATTTCTATATATTACACAGACATGCCAAATGTTCAGGTGTATAAGTTTACAAAACTGTAGGTCCTGCGGTGTAGCATAAGCCATCAAGCCGTTCAACTAGTGTGGATTATAAGTGAACTAGAATGTGTGTAATATCTGAATGGCCGACAATTCCAGAAATAGAACAGATTAATCTAGATGACAAAACACCTATTCACCAACTAAGATATAAAGTTCAGTTCACATATTCATAAGTTGTGTATGTAAGTTAAAATAAAACCGGATTAGTTGGTATTTTTGTGAATTGGCCAGTGTAAATCCACTTTCTGTTCATAATAATGTTTTTAAAAAAAATGAATTTGCCTACAAATCTCGTTAACATGTTAAAAGAGAATTATAACTGATTTTTACGAGTTGATCATGGATTGATATCAGTTAGAGAACCATTGAAAACCAGGGGGTGCTGGACAGCTGCTGTTTCATCCTAGTTTGGGAATCATCGGCAGTACGCACCCACTGGGATTCGAACCCGGGACCTTCCGGTTACAAGGCAAGCTCGTATACCATTCAGCCACTGGGACCCGATTCAATGGCTCGTGAATTCTAACTTCTACTAATTCGTGATTTAGCGCGACCCCAACCATTGTCGTTGGTGGGACATCCATCCACACACGTGACATCTAATTGGACCTCACTGGTCACGACTTCTCACTAGAACTCAGAAACTCCAACCTGTAGCAAGTCACTAGCGAGCATCAGATCAACTTTCTATAGTTTGGTTTGTAAGGATTAGTTATGTTTTACGGGTTGATCACGGATTGATATCAGTTAGAGAACCATTGAAAACCAGGGAGTACTGGACAGCTGCTGTTTCATCCTAGTTTGGGAATCATCGGCAGTAGGCACCCACTGAGTTTCGAACCCATGAACATGAATTTTACCAGTGGCTAAATGATTTAATAAAGGACCTATCCTTCTGTCCTAAAGAATGAATCCAAGCTTAAGGGAAAAGATGCCTAAAACGACAAAATTTTAGCACCTTGTACACAACCAATCATTAGATTATTACTGCTATTATGTAATCAGAGAATGTTTTTATAAGTATGTTGTCATACGGTAGTTTTGTGTTATACATGTTCTCACTGCAGATAAATTCTTACAAGTGTTTTCTTAATCCGGGAACGCATTTAAATGTATCACTTAGCCACTAACTTTAAATTCTACTTCATTTAAAATCTTGTTTATTAGAATGGCTATTCGGAATTCATACAAGGTAGAATAAGTCCTTCCTGCCAATACTGCAATGTACCCGGATGCTGAGTGAAGTGAACAGAATGTTTAAATTGGTCAATATAGATAGATATTAAGAAACATTATTTCAATAAGTATAACTGCTCTGAAACCAATCTGTACCCTACAAATGTCTGAGTTATATTGTAAACAATTGAAGGCTAGACACAGAAGCCAGGGTATACTTTCAAGTGATCAAACAGCTATTCATGTGTCTATACGGTTTATATTCGTTAACCAATCACTGAGCGTGTGATTTTAGTTTACATTAAACGACATGAAATAGAATGTTCAAACATAGACACAGTATTGTGTTGCTAATGCGCTAGCGAACGGTGGGAATGGTATTCAGGCGTTAACACCCACAAATACAATGATTCTTACAGTGAGAATGATATTCCGTTGGAACCCATTGCCTGTATCACACCACTACAATATCATTTCAGTTTGTAGAAACAGCAGTATTCATTGGTTATCGCTATTAACTAAAAAAAGAACGAATGATCAGTGAATTTTCATTTTGCATGTCCTCTTTTTGATTTCAATGATTACTCCAATCTATAGCTAGGGATTTTCAATAACATCAAGCGTCATTTCGTCATTTGTGGTAGTGACAACACCAATTTTAGATAAATAAGTGACACTTCGAACTGACCATCAGTCATCCACCATTCCATCTTGATAACTGTTTTTGATGGTGACAGGTGCTTCAATCACTTTTTTGTAACATCTATGGAGAGAACACAAGTTAACAGCTTTTCTGACAACTCTACTTTTCATGCAAATGTCCCCCTCTAAAGGCCGATGACAAATACTGAAGCAGAATAATATAGATCCATGTGATTCCTTTTTTACTGTTTAGCTGAATACATTAGATGCTTAATGTACTTCACTTCATTCAAAAGAAACCAGCATTGGAATTGAAAAACTTTTCCTTCTTCATAGTAGACAGATACAATTTTGGGTTCTCTATAGACGACAATAAGTATTTGGTCGGACCCTTTATGTTAACATAACTATTTTTGTGACTAACAAATCTTGAGCTGATAAAGATAAAATATGCAGCTGAATAAAAACTTAAGTCTATTATTGTAAATATCTAAATAGATGATAAGTTCATTTTCTGAAATGATTGAAATCACGCCAATCTAACTAACTGCACACTTCAATAACATGCAAAAAATTAGCGATCTCCTTATTGAATCCTAAGATGGAGGCAAAGTTAACTACCTAGATACTGCAGATTGGATGATACACTCGAAAGCTCCATTCGTTGTAATGATACATGGAATGGGCCGTGAACGAATTGTAACACCTTCTGTCCACTGAAGCATAAGCTGGCATTGGTTAAGAAGCTGTTCCCTGGAGCAGGAGAGCGAAGATGTGCTGATGAACTGAATAATGAATTCCTGGGATTCGAGAAATGCTTGGAAGTAAGTACCTACTGACAAAGGTTTGTAAACACACAGGGGAAATGAATGTGAAGAGCAAGGGAAGTTCTCTGTCAGCAAGAGGATAATTTTTATTCACCTCAATTTCAAAAGTGATGATTGCATTTAGGACACATTGGCCAATAGAAAATGCACATCATTGGACAGGATCCACCCTGTAGCTAATCTGGATTCTATATTTTAAACATCTTGCTTGACTCATACGGTCGAAAGGCGACAAAATGACGTAATTTATAGACAATCTTTAGTTTGCTTTTGTTCCAATCGCCAATACACTGTCAGATATGAATACTTTTAACCTGAATTCCACTCACTGCTCCCTCTATATATATACTTAAGAAAGACTTTGTTACACTGCAAACTGCATTTAAAGCTGTCAGCAGTGCGAGTGTGTGTGCGGTGGGGGCGGGGGGTGTTACTAAACCAATATGTTAAATACTATTGTAGATAGACACTTGAAAATCAGTTAATATTATCTTTAAAACAATTAGTTTTCTTTATGAATTTAGATGAAGCAATAAGAAGACGTAATTTGTCTGAAGCGTGTAATGTATTTGCGCAACGCATTTCGAACAATCTGATCCATCACACACAGACTTGTCATAGGAATATATATGAAATTAATAAAGAGGTAAGAGGTGAGAGAAGAAGACTTAGGTCAAGTTAAAAGGACATATTGAAGGTGAAAATAACAATGAAATTGACTGAAGCAAAATAACAGAAGTAATAGTACTTCTACCCTGGCTGGTATCAAAACAAAATTTTACCAAGGAAGGTTTAATGTGATGACGAATTGTTTTTCAACGCATAAAGATGGTTTAAATTTTCTAATTGCTAGGGCTTCCACAAACTTTAGGATACGCCTCAAACACGTTTTATAGATAGGTCTAAAAGATCTGTTAACGTGAATTTTATGTCCTGTCTCTATCATATGTTCCGCAATAGAAGAGCTAGGCCTCCTGTTCTCAGCGTTAATAGGTTCTGATGATTCCATTTGTTTCTGGAGCCATTTTGGAATATGCTCTGAAGCCCTTACTTGCAGAGATCGATGAGTCCTCCCTATGTATGTGTGTCCACACGTACATTCAAATTGGTAAATACAGTGGGATGTGACGTCATTTTTCGCATGTTCGAAGGGCTTAGATAGATATAATGGCTTTACATTCTCTATTATTATGATATTAGCATTCAGCCTTTGTCTAGTTATCAAGCTGCTTTGATGTCCCATATAGGGTAGCTTGATGTACACGTCTTTCTTAGGGGCGAGTTGGAGAGTGGGTCTTGGTGTTCTGACTACTTTATATCTCCTGATGAACTTTTCTGGATAATTGTTATCAACCAGAGTTTGTGTCAATATTCTTTCTTCTTCATCAAGCGTGTCTTCAGTGCATATTCGTCGGATTCTACTGAAGAGGCACCTTACTAAGCCTCTTTTGTACCGAATAGGGCAGAAACTGTGGTAATTAAGATACTGTCCTGTCCAGGTAGGTTTTCTATAAATAGATCTTTTTATTGACCCATCAAGCCGTCGACTAAGCAATATGTCTAGGAAAGATAAACAATTATCTTCCTCTTCTACAGATGTAAGTGATATGCTATTCTGAACTTCATTCATTCGATTTAAAATTGAGGTGGCAGAACAAGGCTTATCACTGATGACTACGATATCATCTACATACCTTCTATAAAGTGGCACATTTTCGATTAAATCTTCCGATAAATTCTCAATGTACGACATATAAATATCTGCTAAAAGGGGCCCTAACGGACTGCCCATAGCAACACCATCAACTTGGCGGAAACAGTCGCCTTCAAATGTAAACCTAACATTGTTAGTACATAGAAGTAATAAATCTTTTAAGTAAGATATAGGGAACGGGATGAAAAAATTGTTTGTGGAAATATAATCACACAAAATGTCAACTGTTTTGATCAAAGGCACATTAGTGAATAACGAGTTTACATCAAAAGAGTACATATTCTTGTTCATAATATTAATATTACTATCATCAAGAACATCAACCAATTCAAATGTATCTTTTAACACATACTTACAGAATTGTGTTTTGACTGGATTCAATAATTCCACTAACCATTTAGCAAGTTTATGCGTTGGGGATTTGCACATTGACAATATAGGACGTAGAGGATTATTGGGTTTATGTATTTTGGCAACCCATACATATGTGGGAATTTACAATCTGACGGTTTTAATGAGTCAAGTTTATCTTTACTTATAGCATTTAGGCCATGAAGCTTCAGTAGATTAGCTGTCACTGTGCCCTGCAACAACTGAATATCTTCTGAGGAGGGATCACGACTAAATTTGCTCTTATCATCAAGAATAGACATCATTTTAGATTTGTAGTCACTTTTATTCATAATGACGACTCCAGAACCTTTATCAGGTTTAGTAATAATTATATTAGAATTTTCCCGTAGCTCTTTCAAGGCTTTGAAATGTTGGGAATTTAAAATACTTTTCTCCTTTGGGTTGTTGTTTAAAAACTGGTGAGCATCTTGGCCTTAAACCAACCCCGATCTTCATCGGATGTTGCGGTAAGAGGTTTGAGTTGGTCATATAAGTTTTCAAACTCAGCATGGATGGCTAAATCCGTAAATTGCGTGCGAGGAACACAAAATTTGAGTCCAAGGGATAAAGCTTCTTTCTGATGAGTAGATAGAGTAATATCAGAAAGATTTGTAACGTACTTATCAGGATTCACCGGGAAGACATCTACGCGGTTTCGATCATCGATTGAACTCTTCAATTTATTTTGTATATTCGTCTTCGTTTTCTGAGTACGTTACAAAACTGAAGAAATTTCATGTAGCATATTATTGATAATTCAGATTAAACAAGTGACGCATCGGTAGGAAGAACAAGTAGTCCTTGTAACATTTGTTTTTATGCAGCTAATATCATAATAATAGAGAATGTAAAGCCATTATATCTATCTAAACCCTTCGAACATGCGAAGAATGACGTCACACCCCACTGTATTTACCAATTTGAATGTACATATGGACACACATACATAGGGAGGACTCATCGATATCTGCAAGTAAGAGCTTCAGAGGATATTCCAAAATGGCTCCAGAAACAAATGGAATCATCAGAACCTATTAACGGTGAGAACAGGAGACCTAGCTCTTCTATTGCGAAACATATTATAGAGACAGGACATAGAATTGATGTTAACAGATCTTTTAAGCCTATCTATAAAACGTGTTTGGGGCGTATCCTAAAGTTTGTAGAAGCCCTAGCAATTAGAAAGTTCAAGCCACCTTAATGCGTTCAAAAAACAATTCGTCTTCACACTAAACCTTCCTTGGTAAAATTTTGTTTTGATACCATATCAGATGTACTATTACCTCTGCTATTTGGTTTTAGTGGTCTTCATTGTTATTTTGCCCTTGAATATGTCCTTTTAACTTGACCTAAGTCTACTTTTCTCACCTCTTACCTCTTTATTAATTTCATATATATTCCTATGACAATTCCGTGTGTGATCAGATTGTTCGAAATGTGTTGCGCAAATACATTACACGATTCAGACAAATTACGTCTTCTTATTGCTCTATTTAAATATTATCTTTGTCGGACTCTGGGCATCCCCTCTATTCTTAAATTTCATTAGGTAGGACTAGAAACAACTATTCAAGACTTTAATTAAATTTTAGATTTTCCCATCGATTGATTTGACCGAAGTGCTTGGTCTCAGGTTGACATATCAGCGCCTTGTGCAGATGCTTCGACGACGTCTGTGCACTTAGTTATCATTTAATTGGTGGACGGTGACTAGCACTGAAATCTAGGATGCGCATCTCGTACTATTTGGGACTCATCAACAGGATGTACTTGCATTTCTCAGTGAGTGATGATGTTCCCACCGAGTCTTGAACTTTGTGTCCATAGTTTCATACGCCAAAGAGTTATCCACTAGACCACTTGGGCCACAAAACTACCTCTTGTGAAACGGGTCATATTAATTTAATTGAATTTTAGTTTGGAACTATGGGTACTGGGTTTGAGTCCTGGTGGGAACATCATCACTCACTGAGAAATGCAAGTACACTCTGTTGATGAGTCCCAAATAGGACGAGATGCGCATCCTAGATTCCAGTGCTAGTTACCATCCACCAGTTATATACAAGACTTTATGTTCAGACAACTAAGTATAAAGACTTCACATGCCTTATTTAGCACACATTTTATGCGATGAGATAAGTGTAAGGCAGGCCACTAATAATTTACTGAGAAACATTAAGTAAAGCGTACTTTTCATTCCTCCTTTCACTAACGTCTTGTTTTGAATATTTTCGCTTCAATTTTATGTTCATATTTTTTATTGAACGATACTGTCTAATGGAAATGTCCTGTTTAATTATTACCCCTGTATTATTTAAGGAGAAAATTAGGCGCAATACTGTACTCTATATTGTATGAAAAGTACTGTTTTGAGCAAAGCCATTATTATTATTATTAAAAGGTTATAATTCAGTCATTATCCCAAGGGCATCTGAGTAATTGAATTTTGATTGGTTTGTTCTATCTGAAGTGCGATTTGTTAGAAATCCCATTCCCGTCAATTCAACCAATAGCATTGACAGAAGGGAAAATGAATATATATTAAGCTAAAATCACTTACTCACCTATTATTATAACTATTATTATTATCTGAGTTAATCACAGTTCTTGTGGATCTCTAACTCAGTTGTTCCGAAGTATTCGTCTACCGCTCGTTGAAAGTAAGTCACTTTTCACCACTTTTTTCATTGCAGTAAATATATTAAATGTTTCAATAATTAGAAAGTTGAAACTGAAAATGCCATGAGTTATAAGACAGTTCAATTTATCACCTCACCTCTTTCGGGTATTATTTATTCACCAACTAAGGTGTAACTCCAACACTCACACAAACCTTATTCAACGCGAATGTTGTTCCGAGTAAACTGATGTTTTCAAAATGTTAATAAAATTCTGCTGCTTGGAATGTCAATAAATAGTTAGCTTGGTTTCTTAAAAAAACTTGCTGGATAACTGAACAAAGAAGTATTTTGAAATTGCCAGTTTACAGTCTGTTACACTATATCGTAAATCATATCTATCGATTACCTAAGGATATGCCGATTTTCTTATCCCAACCATAGGATAGAACAACGGTGCAGTTGCTATGATGCTTGTGCTTAAAATGTTTGGCACTGGTGTTGTACAGTAATGACTAGTTTTGGTTAGTTCTTTAGTTGATATCACTTCCAGCTGAAAATTATCCTTAGTCCCATATGATAGTAATCCTTATGGGTTTTTAAAGATTTAAAATTATTGCACATTTAATAACTTCGAGATACTGACTTTGTTACTATCTCAATGTGTATGCAGGCAAGTATTTGATTACACTGCTGGTGCTAAATTATACTTCCAAATTAGAGCTGTTGACAGCAATGGACATCTAACTCCTTTTCACCATTTCAACCAACCAGTGAATGTTTATGTAACACTCGGTATATCCCATGCCAGTGGCTTAAAATAGTTATATATCTGTAACCGTTTAGATAATAATCAGATGCCTAATTTATTGGATCACACATTCTTACTCTCTAAACATCTGATTGTACGGTGTATTTTCATACAGTCTGTTCTTTTTGAGTAGGATGAAGTAGAAAGGAAACCTAAAACTTGGCGCCATTCGATGGATATTTTAAGTGGTGCTCCACTAATGGAAATTTCGCGATCCGATCTCGACTTTACTCCAGTCATAACGAGTCTTACCTAGTTGTCATGCACATGAATATTATGTGGTCACATCTCGTTTTAATCTAAAAGTATAGTTGAATTCGTAGATACAATGAAATCGTCCATGCAATAAAACAAAATCCCTACAAAACCAATACTTGACAACTGAAAGTGGCTACTTTAGGTACTTCATCTTTCAAACGAGGAATCACCATCGATCGTATGGAAAATAACACTTATAGTCTGCCAGCATTAAAACTTCTTTGAAATGACTTTCTAAATTTCCTCGTAATTAATTCTATAGGCATATCGCCCTTGAATTGCAGTCGTATGTTTATAAAGGCTTCTTGTTTACGGATAGTAAATAGTCCTTTTCCGCTTTCTTTGTCATGCGTCATATACAATCCTTAGTCCTGCTTCCCGTACCTCTTCTGAGCATATAGTCCTAGCCGTATGGGTGACAGTCTTTACTAAATTTATTTTGTAGCGGAGAGGAATGAAGCTATGAAAATGTGTATATTGCCCTGTCCATGTACTTTTCCTGTGCAAATTTCTCTTTATACTACCATCTGGTTTACTTGTAAGCAGGACATCAAAGAAGGCAATTCTGTCTTGATAAACTGATCTTAACATAAAGAAGCAGGCTTTGTTCTCGATTTTGAAATTTTTGATCCTGGAGGGTCATTTCATTATAGTTTGGGATCCCCTCCCCTGCCACCCAGTGTGCACTAACGAATCACAACGTTGGAAGTAGTCAGCTGACTGTGGTTGGTGAAACTGGTTAGTGTGATTGGAAAGGTTGTTGAGCATGCTGAGGTCCAGTGTCTCCCATTGATCACCGTTAAATAAGATAAAGTAAGGTTGGGTGAAATCTGAAAGTGACTGTAATAAGGTCTGAGGTCTCCGCCTTTATATCCGAGTCGTGTAAAGAAACATCCTCTTAGTGATTAGAGTCCACAAGACTCAGACGAATAAATGAAGAGTCTAGGTGACCTATAATAGAATCAGTTACAATGATCCAGGTGAACTAATGATTTACCTTCAGCTTTAACCTTATAACTAATTTCTTTACTTGTTGCTTTTTCTTGTATCTGCCATGTTTCATGCCTTCAGCTTATATCAATTTCATTTCTTAATCTTACTTCTCATTGACTCTAGATTGATGTGTGGATAGGGTCAGTGTAATTTAACCGTTACAGATATTTTACATCTTATACAAATACTGTCTAGTTTCAACAAAAGCATAAAGTCATAGCTGGATAAATAGAAAGGAATATGTTCAGATTCAATGACCTCATTTGTATACTTACGTAATATGTTCTTTGTGGTGCATCAAGCATTCCAATAACCCCATAGGTCGTTATCATTATTATTATTATTGTATCATGAATTTATCCTGTAATGTATTAATACCTAAGATTATCACTTCTGGAGTTTAACATGTTCATGAGTTTATCATAATGAATAAGTCATAACTTTGGCTGTTTTTACTGACATCATCTTATAATGGCTTTAAGGTGTTAGAAAGAGAGAGAGAGAGGTTTCGTTTTTTCAATTTTAACTACTTCTGGGTAAATTAATATGAAGGGGAAGTAAATGCCTTCATTAGGAAGTGTAAATATTTATAATTAGGCTGTTTGAGATAGCTTCACTTGCGAGACTCCATTGCCACAGCATGGCATCTGATATTATTCCCTACCATTTTACGTGTGATAGATAATTCTGAGGGGTTTTGAGCCAAGACACTGCTCGAAATTCGGTTACACGCTTAGCTTAGATCTGTGTTTTTTTTTATAGAACTGGGATCGATATGCCACTGTTACTACACCAAGAAATCTGATTCCTTGTTTACGTGTGGTTATGATTATTTTTTCTGTATGTAAAATAAACAATTACAGTTGGTCTAGTTTATTTAGAGTATTCTGCCGTTATTTTCTTCATTTTGCTAAACTGTTCTGTGCTGACAAGGTAATTAATCTCTTCGGTTGACAGACCAAACAAAAGGTGGTCATCTTTCATTTTGGTAGTTCTTAATAATTGATTCAATATCCAGACAGCTTTATCAGCTGTAACCACAGATTGAATTGACGTATGAATAGTCTTTCTTCATTCTTTTCAATATCTTCATGGTTTCTTTATTTTTTCTACCGTCAACTATTCGAAAAAACTTGCATTTTTGATAGCAGTGCACATACTATACTGCTGAGATTGTCGATTAACTGTTATTACTGTGACAATAACAATAATAGTAACTATTATTATTATTATTATTATTATTAATATTCAAACCATCTGTCTTTACTCGTATAACTTTAAATCACACACTCAACAGACATTTTGAATAGTGATCAATTTAGACAATGAAGTTAACTAGACAGATGGTCAGCACAGACTGAGATAATTTAGGAAGTACTAAAAGTTTCAATAGTGTATTTATTCTGAATAATGACTTTCCCTGTAAATGTCAAGCTGGAAAATATACAAACATGTTTTTCTAGTAAAAATTTAAAAAAACCCCAATAATCTGACAATAATGCGAGAATAATTAAATATGATTCATGATAAAGCATTGTATGTGTTGTCTAGATAAGTACCAATTCGATCTAGTGTTCCAACATGTTTATAGGTTTCGTATATTTTTAAAAGGCTGTGCAGTTTAAGTGAACGAAGAGAGCAATGTTAACATAAAAGGCATTTATAGTCAGAGGGATAAGGTATTAAGTCTAGTCAGAAGCTGCAGTCCAAGTGATTCGGATGTGTTCAAGCTAAACATTCATCTGAGGTTATTTGTACTAACAGCATAACGTTTCCATAATCTTAGATGCTTATAGTTTTGAATGAAGCGAAAACAAAGAAACGGTTTGGCCCTACATTATTTAATGCCACAAATTAGCATTAGAACACAACAGAAACCCGATTATTATTATTATTATTGTTCCCTTAGGTTCCTAGTGGAACATAGGACTTCGACTGCACGTCTCCACTTACCACTTCTGTCTTCTGCTGTACTTTTCACCTGAATCCATCCATGTTAGTCCATACTGTTTCAACTCCTCTTCACACGATCTCCTCCATGTCACCCTTGCACTGACGACCACTTCCCTGTTGCCGCTTTCCTTTCGGCCTGGTTCCACTTGAGCAATGGCACGACATGCGCGCGATGTCACCCAGTGGCGGCCTCTAGCCTCAGCGAGTGTCCCATCCATCTCCACTTTCTCCTGCATATTTGTTGGTTGGCGATTGGTTCTTGTTTTGTTTGTTCCCATAGTTCCATAGTTCCCACCTCCAACTTAAACATCATTGAGTTATTGTATCTGGCGTGTATACTGAGTAGTGGGAACATAGCTTTTCAGTCAAGTATCCATTCAGCACAAAATTACATTTTGTTGGCTTTCACAAAATGACCATCAAGACTGAACACTCTTCATCGCAGTCGATAGATAGATTGATATGGCAGTGGTGCCCATACGGGCGTACAGATAACCACCTAATATTGTAAACGTATCGATCAAATTGAGTCTGATTAGCAAGGATTCAGTGTTGAAACAATTCAGAAGATTCCCAGCTCACGTGAGTGTTTTTGATGCAGTTGTGTTGTCTGAGGAGGTTTTACTGTCCTTTTAGACAGCAGTCTTCAGTGGTTATTTCAATGTGAAATGAACTCTTCCGGAATTCTCCACCAGTAATGTGACTGTTCCTTCCAGAGACCTTGAGTGTGACTGACTGTTAATTTGTATTGGTCCCGGTAGTTTGACTGACTTCTTTTACCATGTTGGCTTATAAATATGTTCCGTATTAATGTTTCTGTTGGGTGAAGACTGGTTTGAGTACCAGGTTTATAGGAATTCTCCGACATTTTCACACTTTCTCAGTCGAACTGGTGTTCATAGTTGTCTACATGGTCAGATGATGAGGGAATACATGCCATGTCTTTTTGCAGTTGGTTTATATTCATTAATCCCAAACCAAAGGGGATGTTCACTTTCACCAATAAGGGGGAAATTATTTTGTAGACTGTACTGATCTTACCTTTTTATGTTTGGCTTTTTGGTCTGCATTGTACTGAATAAAGAGATTGTATTCGTTTATGTGCGGCATCTATTTCTCACTGTTATCGTATTATAGCCTCTCTTTCTGAAGTATTCTTCGTAAATGGTGGGTTGTGGTTCATTGATGATATTTGGATTCAGTTGAAAACAGTTTCTGATAGATTGTGAATGTTCATCAGATACTTCTGTTCTGTTCTCTTGTGGACTGGGATGGTGCAGTGTGTATTGGCTCTTTTGAACAATGTTTATAAATAGTTTCATATGTATGCTGCTGGATTATTGCTATTGTAGTTAAGAATTTGCTCAGTGCGAGTTCACTTTACGCGTAATAGAGTTTCTAGACTGAGACATGTTGGAAAGGAATTTTGTTCTTCCTCTAACTTACCCAGATTTTTAGTTTGACCACTGGCAGAACCATGTACTCTAGCTTTTGAATAACAGCTGAATCGTATAATGCTAAGACGTCGATGGATGCCATGATTTCATTATCATCTAAATGAATGTTTATTATCTTTCTAGAAATTTGGTTGGCTACTTGATAGAATGTTTACAGCATTCCGCTAGATGTTTTAGCTTTCTGAAGACTGCTATCTAAAAGCACAGTGAAACCTTCTCAGACAACAAAACTGCATCAAAAATACTCACGTGAGCTGAGAATCTTCTGCATTATTTCAACATTGAATCTTTGCTGAGTAGACTCAACCTGGTCGATAAGTTTGCAATATTAGATGGTTGGTTACCTGTACACCTGTATCAGTGCTATTGCGATCTGACTCTATTTCTCGATTGCAGCGAAGAGTGTTCAACCCTGATGGTCAGTTGGTTAAATCCGACCAGCTCCTATTTTGTGCTGAGTGATTATCTTTCACACTTGATTTGCGAGTTTCGCTTTCTTATTTAGGCTACTTTGGTCATTATCGTGTAATTAACTTGCAAATTCTTGTACTTTCATTGCTGCGTTGTTTTGCTTGAACTGCTTTTAAATTGCTTTGTCGTTTATATGGAACATGACAATATTTTTTTTTCACGAAAAGTAGTGGGGCAAGAGGAAGTGTCTATGATAGTGTATGACACACGTTGTACTTGTGTATTTTACTCAACTATCTGATTATTTCGCTTCTTCTATGTATCAGTTTTCTTATGTTCTACATGACTGAGTGTGACTAACTATTCATGGTCCAGTGACTTACAGTTTGTTCTGACCTACTAACAAATATTAATTCAGAAAAGCTCTTAGTTGTAAGCACTCAAGAAGCCTAAGTGGTTGGTGTGTCTAAAAAAAATCTCAGGTGGATACAATGAACAGATAAATGCTGAAGTGCACATGTCTCCTTATTTTTGATCTTAGCAACTGAATGAAAGGATGAACCATATTCACGGGTAAGTGAAGTATTCACATTGCTTCAAAGAAGAAAGCGGGATCACGGAAATACTTTTTTTTTCCTTTGTCGATGAATGACTAGAAGAATCTAACGTCAATGATATTTATTTTGGTTGCAATCTGAAATACCTTCAGAAAATGAACCAGTTCATTTACTTTGTTGAGATGAATCAAGCTTTTAAATTATTGTGTTCAGGGATCATTTGGTATAACTGACGAAGTTAAGCAGTAGGAGTGATGTTGACGTATGTCACCAGGCTGGTGCTATTTAAAGACTTAGTTTTTAAACCCGATCCGTATAAATATGCAGTAAATGCATGATGTGAAATTCGAAGCTGTAACTGCCTTACTTTGATTTTTCTAAAGAATTTCTATAGTTTTGGTTTATAAGGATTAGTTATGTTTTACGAGTTGATCACGGATTGATATCAGTTAGAGAACCATTGAAAACCAGGGGGTACTGGACAGCTGCTGTTTCATCCTAGTTTGGGAATCATCGGCAGTACGCACCCACTGGGATTCGAACCCAGGACCTTCCGGTTACAAGGCAAGCTCGTATACCATTCAGTCACTGGGACCCGATTCAATGGCTCGTGAATTCTAACTTCTACCAATTCGTGCTTGCCTTGTAACCGGAAGGTCCTGGGTTCGAATCCCAGTGGGTGCGTACTGCCGATGATTCCCAAACTAGGATGAAACAGCAGCTGTCCAGTACTCCCTGGTTTTCAATGGTTTTCTAAAGAATTCCATTTAGTTAGTGTAGATGAGAGAAGTGGTGACTGACAGCTCAACTTAACACGTCACAGACAGTAAGGCGATTTAAATATAGATTTGCTGAAATAGAATTCCTATCACTTTTCACCAAAAACAAATCAACTGTAAGCTATGATCAGTTAAATTGAAGTTGCCTTTCTTCTCATTCCTGTTGTTGTACTTGATTTCTGCTACTGTTTCCTAAAGTATCTTGTTGTTATTCACAAGCTTTAGCTTTTTTCCTCCCCAGTTGTACATTCAGCTTAGTTGGTGAAATCAGCTAATGAACAATAAATCGTTTCTGGGCGGTAACAAAAATAGATTTAATACATCAATCAAGAATCCAGTTTCACCGATGGATAATTTATTGCATCATTTCAAGGAAGTGAATCCAATTTACAGATCAGAAAGGCTTTATCATAATCACACTGAACCTTGGATACCAAATTTATGCATGGTAAACACAGTAGCCTCTTCAAGTCAATTACCTTCATTGTATTCAACATCTGTTGAGTTACCAGTGAATGATTCAAACTGGCACTCTGTCCTAAATTCAAAGAATTACATTTCGAGTAAGTATTTAAACTATTTGAAGACACTGACTTTCTAATTTTATTCTGCTTATTCAAAAGGAGTCCAAAAAATGACTTTTTAAAACTAGTAACACATTGAAATGCATACTGAAGGTGAAATTTGTTGCTACAAGTCATGAGTTAGAACTATTGTTTATACATTAAGTGTGCTAGATAACCAGGTTTATCATGAACTCCGAGGAGCATTAAACCTCTCAAGCTTACCGTGCTGTTCAGTACAAATGATCACTAAAGTAATCATGGTTATAATGATGCCAATGCTTGAAACCAATGTCTGTCGATTTTTGCCTCCATTGTGGCAATGGAAGGCACGAAAACACAAGAAGTGACTTAAAATCAGTCTAACAGGTGGTGCAGCTAAGCACTCATCATCGTGTGAAGTGATATATTGAAAGTTGTGTGCAGAAAGTTGTGTTTAACCTAATTCCTGTGCTGTTTAATACGGATAAATACGAGTTTGATGTAATCTCGATCAGAAAAGTAAAACTGGGTTCGCTTCAGACTGTGGTTCAGGGGATTATCATTCACTTAGTTGAAGCAGCTTCATTAAATTTCTCTCTAGGAGTGAACTAAGCTCATCTGCAAGTGTGATGTCATTTAGCCTTATTGTTTATACTTAGTCATAACTAATCTAGACGAGTTCATTTTTGTAAATCCTTATCTTCTCTATTAATTATAATATTGTGACGGTATGCGTAGCTCTACCTTTTTGTATTATCTCCATTTCAAAAAGCTCTGATTAGCGCTGACTGACATGTTGCTAAGTCACACTTAAAAGACGTAGGTTGGATTATGAGTGAACTAGACTTTGGACAGAATTATTCCAATGTATATGGGTGGCCTGACAACAGGTCTCATAATACTGGTCTCATTTGAATTTTGATGAGTCAGTGGTGCAGTGAATGTGTTATTTAAACAAAGATAAATTGAACACAGGTATAGCAAGCAATAGTGACCAACACAAATACACACACAATCATATATATATATATATATATATATATATATATATAGGATCAAGTAGCATTGAATAGAAAAGAAACCAATGATTACCTTACAAATCACATTGCTCTAGTCAGCTAGCTGTATTAGCCTGTCCAAATCCTTCCTACGTCAACACACTTTTATAAAAAAAAAACCTGTCCTGAATTCCACCCCTAGCCACTACCAACGATACAGTGGCGTGTTAACTTAAAGTTTTCTTTCAAGTTTCCATACTAAAGTTCCACGAATCAAAAGACACTACACGTCCAGTAAAATGAGATCCATGAGACAATGAACAGTCGGAATCTGCCGTAAGCTTTCTCAGACTCAAATAAATTCAGAGCATAGATGTTGGCTATTCAGCTGATGAGTACTACTAAAAATTTATCGATTCGCCTTACTCTACTGTCCCTATGTATGTACACTTTTTTATACTGATTTAGAATTCATCGCGTAAATGGAGTATTTTCAAATGTTCAAGTGATTGTTTAGTGTTATTTCGAAATCATTTTTGTGTACAACATATGTTGGTGTATATTTAAATTTTGTAGAGGTTCCACAAATCGTCAAAGAAAACACAACTTCAAATGAGTCAATTTCCCTTGGAAATGTGAACAGTGATGTTTTCCATCGATTTGGTCAACCGATTGATTTAACAATGAATCATCAAGAAAGTCATCCAAAATTGGGTGATTCGATGTCTTTTGGTGAAGTGTATCCACAAAGTAGAAGCACAAATGAAGTCTGTACCGATGAAACATCTTTCAGTAAGCTATCGTTAATTTTTAAATATCCTCAGTTTTTACTACACGTGTGTATTAGTTTGATTCATTACAGTTTTAATCACACGGTATATTGATGAACGTGCTCTCCTGTAAGCCGAAGATTCTGGTCTTCGTCTGCAGATGGCTCATGGATATGCGGTTTTGTGAAGAGAATTCTAAACTGGTTGCAGCAAATGTTTAATGCTCCCTAGTTCCCATTAGCTCTCTAGGCGATGTCGGTACGTAACTGTGTTTAATGTAGAATCCTTAAGTTACTAACATCATTATATCAGCGTTTGTGGCTGCATCCTTATTTATCTCTTTTTTATTTCTTTACGCTCCTAGTGGAGTATACGGCTTCAAGCTAGAGGCTCGAAGTTTCACTAGCAGTGGTGTTTATTTTTACGGGATGGAGTCGCTAACCTCATACCTAACCTTCTCTCTTTACCACCCTTATTACTGGCTTAACGAGGTAAAAGAGTGCGTCAGTTGGGGATTGAACCCCAAACCACCTGCATAGTCGGTGAGCATTCTACTTCTATGCTGCCGACACATACTAAAAAAAAAATGCATCTGTATACAATGGGAAAGACAGGCACAAAATAGGAGATAACTTTGCAGCACAATATCTACACAGTAGTCATTGTTCATGAAACTTTTAAGCTGTAAACTGTTAAAATATGGGTCATATTTGTACCTGGATGATGTATTGATTCCGTCGCTTATTTTTCTAGACGGTAGTGGACTTTCCATAGCCAGTCTATGACACGTAATTTTTTAAATGGCTATGAGAATTACGCTAGTATCTAGATTTACTTATAGGCGTAATGGATATTACATTTGAATGAATTTTGTTGAAAGTGAACTAGTTAGCGTAAAATCACCCTAGGGTAGAAAGCTGTTGTGATTTTAAAAAAGGCTAAAATTTGGAATATATATATATATATCTGCCCATTATTATTCTTATCAGTATTCAGCGTAAAACAGTGGGCATCTGAGATATCTAGAACTAGAATGACTTTTGACCTATTCGCATGATATATACTGGGAAAACAGTCTTCTTGTCATCATTAAGCTACATTAAATGCGTACATGATCTTTAAACTGCAAAAAGGAAATTCGGACAAAAGAAACCCTCATTATTGCATAGAATATAGTAAATTAACTTGTTTAATTGAGAAATTCTACGTTTTTCTATATTCTCAGAGAGTCACACATTGAGAAGATACATAAAATAATCTAGACCATTAAGCTAGGTGCTGATTATCTTTAGTTTTAACTGTCATTGAGCATATGTCACTCGATAGGGTTTTACAAATCCCTCAAACTTCAAAGGGGAGAATTTTATGGGGGGGGGGGAGGGAATTTCCTGCTAATAATTCACCTTCTTAATCCTATCCCGATTGTCCTATTTTGAATTTTGATTTAGTAGTTGTAATAAACAAAGTCAGCTGATATAAGAAAGAATCTGCGTACTGTGATAGAGTATAATTCCACACAGTAACACTGTAATGACTAACTGATGATGTTTTAGGCAACTTGATATGATTTGCTGCAAAAGTTATCAGCAGGTAATAATATATCGAATAAAATTACTCTGTAATGGAACAAACTCAGCTGTTTGACACTCATTATGACTTCTTTTTGAATTCCAATCGATTAAAATTAAATTTCAGATTGATTTTATTAATTGTTGAGTTGAAAAGACTTTACAGTATTAGGTGAATTCGGGAAACACTGAACAACTTCACTTCCCAATCAACACGAAAATAACTGTTATTATGTTGAAATGTTTGTTCAAAGGAATTGAAATTATGCAAATATTCATTAGATGAATTTCAATTAACATTTAAATATAACAAATGAACAGGTAGGTAGGGAATCAGGTCAGTATCAGACATTCTATAGAAGTCTAGCAGGTTCAATAGTACACTCTTGACAGTTGTGAACATAGGTGACCAAAATAGTTGCAGTTGGGTTAAAATAAACCAGGGATATTAGGGAAACACAGTACTAATCATGGGAGTGATTCGAACTTTCAAAAGTATGAACACAAAACAAGGCGAATGCATCTCAGGTATTCAAGCATTTCCATCAACAGATTTTCTAACACTAAGTGTTTGAGAATATTTTAAGTTTGCTCTAGTGAAATTATATATATATATATCTTTCTCTTTGTACCAAAGTAGTGGTAACCGCATAGTTTACTCTGAATGAAGTTTAGTAGTCAGTGTGATTAGTTGGCAGTGTTGTGTGTTACTTTTCCGCTATGCGGCATCATCACTGTCATGTCGCAAAAGTCGAAATCCCCACTGCAGCTTCATGAAGGAAAAAAAAGAAAGAGAATATACTGAAAAGTGTTCAGTTTTATTTGGATTTTAACAGCCATCGTTATTATTGTTGTTAACATTATCAGTATTATTCTGCTTATTTGAATACTAATAATGATAGTTAGTTTATGCTTGACTGTTTTGTATACATATATATCCTCCCTGTCAGTATGTGGTAATTTTCAGTGAAAGTTTATTTTTAAACAGTATCTATTTATTTCAACTAAATCAGAACGAGTTTGACGCCACAAAATTTTTCGTTTTTGTAAATTGCGAAAAAAATATCATCAGGATAGTTTTGAAGGTTTTTGGTCAAATGTTTTTAAGGTTGGGAGTTGTGGTGTACTGATATTCTTACTTTGCATATATACGCGTACATCTTTTATTGAGACGGTATCCCGGCTTCTGAGGTTTATATGTGCATATATGCGTATATGCACGCATGACGTGTCCAAATTAGGTGGTCAAACCCTCCATCCCTCTCTCTCCTTCTCATATTATAAGTGGAGGTGAGTGTGTGATAAAAGTCAAACTGTATATGTACAGCTCTGTGTGTGTGTGTGTGTTAAGTAGGCTCACCTTGCCCCAACAGTAATTCTTTTTTTGTTGTGTGTGTGGTACATTTTTAACAATTCACTAAGACGGTGTAGAGCAATATTGTCAAGCTGACATTCAAACTGTTCTTCTTCGACCATTTACCATTGTAAATTATGTTTAAAATGTGTGTAAATGTGTTCCTGTCTGAGTACAGGACAAATGGATAGAAGGTTAGGGAAAATGGTCAAAGTTGTGTGTGTGTGTGTTGGGGGTGGGGAAGACACTATTGTTTTTATTACTATTAATAATAATAATAATAATAATAATAATAATAATAATAATAATATGTGGATGCGCAGTTAAACTGTTAGGCGAACAGAGTGGTCGAATGACATTTTTATCTATTTAATAGACAATATGGACAAATATGTGTTCGTACGTATGTATTATTGCGGAAATATACGATAAAATCAAATTGTAGCATTTGTTTTATTATTATTTGTTGTTGTCATTTCATGAGTATTAAAAATATCATCTGAACTCAGCAGGTAGTGTAGAGATCAAATTTTAGTGATAAATTTTTATTCATGTGTTAACAAGTTAAATTTATTTTAGAGAATGAATAATAATTGTCACTTCTTTTGGTACAATAAATATTTAATTTTCAATATTGTCATTGTGTAAATAATGTTTCAGTTGGGACTGCATTGCAAATCTTACATTAAGTATAAGGGATAATGAGAACCTCGATCCAGTAACTGACGATTTTGTTAGCTTTGCCACCGTCATCTACTGTCATCGATCAGTGAGTATCCTGACATTCATCATCTTAGTGTCAACCATCATTTTCAACTTCTGATCAAAACTTTAGAAAATTTAACTGTTCAGCGGAATAAATTAGGCCGCGTAAGCTGATGGATTTCATCTCAGTAGTTAAGCATAATCATGCAGTCTTTATGACCACTGACAGTGGTTAGGACTCTCGCCGACCATGCATATGGTCCGAGGTTCGATCCACTGCCGACGGACACCTGATATCTATGGTCGGCCTGCAAAATTTGGCCTACCGATATCATATGCTGAAAATTCCATACTAGTACCAAAAATGCAGTGTGGAATCAAGCTGTAATAAAAAATAAAAAAATAAATACTCAGATGCATTTTTCACGTCAGATTGTAATTATTCATTGTAGAAGTGTTCAAAACTAAGATGTTTGATTTTCATCGCTTGTTTACTTGATATCGTTTTCTGAAGGGATCTACTCAGAAATGGATGAACATATTCAATATAGACTTGTTTGATGAGGAAAAGTGACTTCACTGTTTTTTTTTTTTTGGTTTTTTTATTCCTTTACGTTCCCAGTGGAGCGTAGGGCTCCAATATGTCTGTAGTGCTTTCCTAGACTACACATCTGCTATTGACTCTGTACCTAGGGGCCTTTTATTAAATAAGCTTTCGTTGACGCAAACAGGATCCTGGGCTAAGAGTTGGTTACATTCTTGTTTTTCTGATAGAATGCAGTATACTGTATATAATGGCAAATCTTCTACCTCGCTTACAAAAGCCGGTATTCCACAAGGTGCCGTCCTCTCTCCTTTTCTTTTTTCTTTCTTCCTACACGACCTGTCCCATTCAAACGAAACTAACTTTGTCAAATATGCAGATAATCTGACTGTATCACTGCCTATCACTTCCGAGTCTGACAGATCCGAACTTAATAGCTTTCTTTCTATTGGACATCAACAAGTGGTCCAAGTTAGATGGTCTTATATTAAATCCTTCCAAATGTCAGGCAGTTAACTTTACTTTCAAGCATCAACGTGACTTACATGAACTAGTTAGTTCGCATGATTCCTGTAGCATAGATGGCACGGAAATTGAAACCAAGCCAAGCATAAAATACCTTGAATTAGTTGTTTCCTCTGATCTTTTATGGTCATCCCACATCTTATCTATCTCTAAGAAAACGTCTCGTCTTACCTTCTACATTAAAAAGTTAAGATAATCAGGTATCAACCAACCTTTAGTTTTGCAATTTTTAAACTCCTGTATTTTACCTATTGTACTCTATTGCTCTCCATTAATCTTTCCTGGGCTTCTCAAAAAAGACTATATCATATTACAAAGAGTATTAAATACTCGGAAATTCTACAATACCCTATTTACTCCGTATTTTATGTGATGAGGACTCTGTTAGACGTGAAACATATAAGCTACTATGTAATTAGCAAAGTGAATCGACCCTTTCATTGTTCATCTTTCTGTATTTTATAGTGTCACACTTTCTATCGTTTAATTATGACTCGGCTATTTTATTTTAGTTGTTATTACTATTATTACTACAATTTTATACTTTATGTATATTTTTCTCCATATTGCATACAGTAATTTGCTATGTAGCTGCTATAACAACGTTTTATTATTATTATTATTATGTAATGTTTATTTTTATTTATTTTTTCGTTTTTGAGTAAATAAGATGCAATATTGAACTGAAATGCTGAAAATTCCTTGCTGTATCATTAGTACTGTTTTTGGAATAAAGCAAATTATTATTATTATTATTACTAAAGCTAGAGGCTCAAAGTTTCAGTAGTAGTGGTGTTTACTTTTACGGGATGAGGTTGCTATCCTCATACCCAACCTTCCCTCTTTACCAGCATTATTACTAGTTTAGTGAAGTGAAGGAGCGCGTCGGTCGCGAATCGAACTCCTGACCACCTGCCTGGTTGGCGAGCTTTCTACCACTGTACCACCAACTTCACTGTGCATATACATAATGATACAATTGTAAATATGACTTATATCGTTCACAGAGTTCCGTTTTGAAATATTACTGTTGAATTGTATCCACTGATTCACTTTATATATTAGGAGAGAAATGGCAGTTTGAATATGAAAATCAAGAGAGTGAATTCCATATCTGACATTTTAAAAATAGCCTATGCATCTTCTTACTTTGCAGACTGTAAAGTTACTAACCAGTTATTCACATAACATTAAACTCCCTGTGGTTGAAATTATATTTCAATCCGTGCTGGGGAATTGGTTCCACGCTTTATGCAGTAGAACTCTAGACTGATTATTCAGAGATGAGTACTTAAACTTAAGTGACTTCACACTTTATTCTGTATTTCCGTTAGTGATGTAAGACTAATATAGAGGAGTAGAAGATAATATTAGGTAGATTCAAACGTTTACGTATCACTGTGATCAAATTTCAACCAGAAGGTTTCTTACATTCTATTCAGATTTTCTCAAAAATGTCAACAAGAAGAGAGAATTTACTTATAATCACCAGCAAATCGAAAGCATAACGGATAGATTTTTGTCAGTTGTCTAGACTTGCTTAGAATTTTCGAAGGTACGTTTCCGGTTGATATAAGCATAGAAATGCGTTATTTCCACCTTAGTGGGGAAGGGAAAATCGATGTAGGTTTTATGGTTTAATTAAGCATTGACATGAACCACTAAATACTTAGTAGAAATGTTAAAAACAGATCAGGAAAAATCTAATGACTAATAATTTATGTTGTATAAAGAACTTATTTATCCACAATGCAAGAAGATATCAACTTCCTTTAGCTGATGTTTTTTCACCCGTTTGAAAGAAGAATTCTTCGGTGGGTCGATAACATTGAAATTTGTCACTCGTGTAACGTTCATCCTTCATAATAATCACTGTGCCAGTTAAGTCAGAGTATTTTCCAGAAACTTCTGAATACGAGGGATTTTGCTGAAATTAGTCTCTGTCACTACCGTACTGGTTCGATAATAATATCCAGTAGAAACTCCCGACATAGGCGAGATTTCCGGTTGTTCATCCCGATTTTAACTACTATTTCACTACTTAAACCAAAAACAGAGAATATATTGACCATTAAAAGTAGGACGGTAATAATTTTTCCGAACTAAGTTGCATACAATTTCCTTTCAAGTTAATCATGTAGGTGAACAGATGTACTAATTTACCAGGACACCAGGACAAATGTCAGTCTTTTAGGTTTTAAAACATAGATTACTTAATAGTAGTATGATTTTTAAAGCATACTTTTACAGAGTTTCTTGAAGGCGGTTATAGCGACGACCTCCGTATGGGCAGTCGTCTATTTATTTGTAGAAAACTCAGACACCGTGATACTGTGTGTGTGTGTGTAGTACCACAATAGTTTACTTGTCAAGAGGATCATCAAGTGAAGCTGTATTTTTAACTGGGTGACCTTTCTTACGTAGTTTGTCGTTCATAACCAAGGAAGTTGCAATGTTTCACTTTGTGGTATATCCAGTGCGTCAACGGTTTGCTCGTACTCCTAAACCTCTCCTGGTTTATTGGTTTGTAATAAGGCCGGAAATGAGGGAAGGTTTGGGGTGAAGCTAACAGCTCTACGTCGTGATGAAAGCACCTTCGCTACTGAAATTTCAAATTCTGAAGCCCTGTGCTTCACTCGATACTCAAGGAATGAAGAAAAACTGGTATATCCAGTAAATAAATTATTACTGAGTCATCATCTTAATTTTTGTAAAAATAATACTTAATAACATTAATTGTTCATTTCTTCCCTCTCTTAATCTTCAGATGATTGGAGTCAAAGCAGTTCACTCACACTCCCATGCTTGTTATGCAAAACTGTTGAGAATTCTCCACATCAACTGTTAAAACACCTAGAACAAATGCATAATATAAACCCAAATCAATTTAAAACTTCACCTAGCCAAAATTTTCGAGATGTAGAAGTAAATAAGCAAGTTGGGCAATCTTTTATACAGCTAAGCAACGACACAATGAATAAATCAAGGCTTAGCCAATATGATTCATGTTCATATCATTCCTTACCTAGCCTGTATACACATTCAATAAATTTTACAAGCTATAATATGCATTTATTCACTTACATGTATAAACTTATATCTGCTTATAAAGAAAGAGATGCCAGTGAACAAGTGATTACACCCAGTCAACCATTACACTACATAAATATGGGAGGCTCAGAAGATTTTGAAAATGTAATCGGTGGTAAGTATAATCAAGGATCTACTGTCTATGATAACATCAATTCCTACTTATTGGATAACTATGGAAATACAATGATGATACGACAGGCGAAGTCATTCGCTGAAATTATATCCGGCAGAAGTCTACTAGTACCTTGCCTGAATAGAAGTGCAGAAGAATTTACAGTAGAAAACAAATTGATAGATGAGGCTAAAATCGTCAAGCATCCTATTCTCCGTCAGTGCCTTTTAGATTCCAATAATGCTACTCATCATAGTGAAAATAATGCACTAAGCCCCCCACCAAAACTGGTAATCAGTAGAAGACGTGATATGTGTGAATTTTGTGGAAAGATATTTCGTAATATCAGCAATCTCACTGTACACCGACGTACGCATACCGGCGAGAGACCATATCACTGTAACCTATGCCCTTATGCATGTGCTCAATCGTCAAAGTTGAAAAGACACATGAAAATACATACTAAACAACAGCAACACCAGAACTGTAAATCCAATTCAAGTAGTTATATGAAATCCTTGAATGAAAGGCGATTCTCTTGTGTATATTGTGGTAGGCGATTCAAATTTCTTGATATGTATGAATCTCATTCAGTGTGGTGCAGGTTGGGTGCTTCCAAAACTGAAATTACTAATCATTTAATTTAAATATACGTGTAAAAATAAAACCGTTTGACAAAGTGATGCTGTGCATAAGAGGATAAAAGGGGGTTAATTTTAGTCAACTAATTTCCAAGTTATTTGATAATCTCAAAGAAACTTAATTTATTTTTGGTTTTTTTTTCATAATTAAGCGCCATTAGTTTTAATCTTAGATTATTACTGCTTTTTTTTACAACACTGCTTTTCTCTATCCACTTCGAACCATTTTCTTGACTTTGTAATGTGAATGAATATGAAAGTAAAAAAAATGCGTATCCTGTAACAATTAACTAAATTGGTTACCCATTTGAAGAAAACTGTGTCCTACCAAATAGATTTTTGAGCTGTTTTTATACTTATGCAAAAGAATAACATTAAATTACAGTCAGTTGACTACTTGTTTGTTTTGCAATTTACCTTGTCAGGATAAAAGTCCATCAGCATGACTGCAAGAATCAAAATGTAAGCAATGGTGATGTAACATTATTGTATACTGATTTGATGGGTTGGCATATACAACAAAATCAGAAATGTTAAGGGGGTTCAGTTAAGACAACTTCACTTGCTATATTTACACAGTAGCATACATGCAAACACCGCTTTCATTCACTAACTCAGTTTAACATTTACCATAATTCTTTTATTTAAAGGAAAGAGTGACACGCAGAATAAGCTGTTATGGCCTAAAATGCCGAGTTACTGTGATTAGGGAGTACTAATCAATATGAAATTTAGTAGAACTGACCGATTTTCGGAGGGAATTCCATCCGGTCTTGTTGCCTTCCCGGCTGGCCTTCAGTAGCTTGTTCTCATTCAGGATTTCTGATTTCGTTAGAGTGGTGTCCGCTAGCAGGCAGTTCTGTGAGTGCTATTGGTGGTGGTGGTATTTCTGGGCGACTTGCAGCTGATGGTCGATTCAAGAGACCTTTAAAGTGACCAACCCACTGTTTTATCTGTTTCTCCTCCTCAATAATCACGTCCCCTTGAGCATATTTTATTGGTTTCATCATGTGCGTTGATCTCTTCCCGGATAGCGAGTGACCCGGTTATCTGATGTAATGTTTTTAGTTCTGTTTTATCTGTGTGCTGCCGGTTCCGCTTCAGTTGAGGGCCAGTGCGTCGTAGAATTGTATTTTGTCTTTCCGTGCACTCTTCTTTACTTCTTTCCTTATTCAGTGCACTGTACACTGAACTCAGTTTTTCCCTCTGTTGCCCACCTTTGCATTTAGTCATCTGTTTCACGATCTTCTTCTCCTTTTCTCGATTAGCTTCCACGTATCCGTTGAGTCATCCCTTGCCTTGTCTCTTCTTTCTTCGTAGAACGGTTGTATACGTTTCCTTAAACATCACCTTCAGAAAGTTAGTTTCAACGTTCTTCCACACAGTGTCTCCGACTTTGCTCTGATCTGATCTATAATGAAGGCATCCGTTGTAGTTTCTTCCTTCAGTTTCTGAATGTTGAACTTGAGTTGTGGCATGTCTCCGGTTGTTTTCACGGATTTCAGCTTCACATAGAAAGTTCCTTGAACTAGATGATGGTTTGAACCCGCCCACATCTGCTCCTCTTCTCAACTTTGTATCTAGCAGGCTGCATCTTCACTTGCTTGAGCAGCATTGGGAAGAAGTCTATCTGGTTTGTGGTAAGTCCGTCAAGCGAAATGCATTTCGCTGGCCTTGTCTATATACTTGTGCACACTGCCTCCGATTACCAAGTCATTGAAAGCACAGAAGTTTGAGAATAATTATCCGTTCTCATTCATTTCTCTGACAGCATCTCGACCCATGATGAGTTCTCTTCCTGTATTATCTGCTCCCAGTTCGGTTGGCATTCATATCGCCCATGAGGATTTTGACGTCACCATTTGAGATGTTGTCCATCACTGTTTGTAGTTGTCTGTAAGACACTTCTTTCTTCTCCTCCGGTCCCGCGTTGTTTGTAGAACTGTGGTTAGCATTGGATAACTATCACCTTCCTCCCTTCCTTTGGAGTTTTATCTTGCTGTCATGATCCTGCATGATGAAATTGGTTCCCACTCCATTATGGCTTTCGCTGCCACTGGTGATATCATGACAGCCACTCATTCTCTCAGTGTGTTCGTGGATGTCGCCTGAGTGACCGGAGTAGATTATTCACTCTCCCGTTGAAAATGTTGTCAGTCAACATCCATTCCGTCTACTTTCGAAGATACCCAGTACTTCTATGCCATATCTTCGTACCTCCTTGGCTACCTGGGCAGAATCCCAGCCAGCCTCGTACATTGTACGGATATTACATGTTCCCATTCTTATCCTTGCTTTCATCGAGAGAAGACACATCGGTTGAGTGAGTCCCTGAAGGCTTTCGACAGCCGGGGTGTGTCATTTCGCCTCTCCGATTCGTGCGTAGAATAAGATTTTTATTTGAAGTCTTTGTATTTTTAATATATTTTATGTGCGTTGGAGTTTCTGCAGAGGTTTGATAGGTTTAATGATGTGGGGTTCCTAGCCCCACACTCGACCCTCCCTCTTTTTTTTCAGGATTGGGATCGGATAGAAAACTAGCAACCTAGTTATCTAGGCGAGGTTCCTGTTATCGAACTAAATACATAATTTCCTGTTCCAGCCAAGCTGAATAGTGTTCACGATCACCCTTTGCAAACGGACACACAGTATAGCTAAGACAGCTCACCAACTATAAAAGTGAAGCAAGAGTAGAATGCTTACGGTATCACGGATTGTTTGCACACTGTTTAGGTACCTACCGGTGAACATTCGGGTTAACTGTAACGGTAGAAGACAAGAGATTTCATAAAGGAATGTTTATTTGGAATCTTTATATACAGAAATTATGTACACCTAATCTGAAAACCGTCATTTGCACAGATCTTCCGTGTTGTGCTATTTCTGTCCTTCGTATTGTGTTTCTTTGTCTTCTTTTCGTGTCTCCCGTGTTTTGCTGAAACGCTGCTGTTCATTTGCTGTCGCTAACGTCACATATATCTCTCCGATATTTGATATTTTTATGCTGATGAACATGTTTATATACTACTACTACTGATATATGTAATCAGTAGCACACGCCAAACAACTACTTTCGGGGCGGGATAATACCCAGATAATTTATTGAAATATTAGTCGGCTTTCAGTACAAAAAAAACTTTTTTTCTCAGAATAAAATGTTCATCAGTGGGTTGGATGTTAGAAACAATAACAGACCTTTAAGTGTATATTCATATCAGACAGAGAAGACAGAGGCAACAGATAGCAGCCATTATTTTTGGTGGGAGATTTTTATCCAGTAGGTTTAAGTTATTACACCTTTTAAGGTTTACCAATAGAACATAAGTGATAGCTTGAATCCAAACAAGTAACGATATTTCATTGAGTGGAGAACTCATATCACATTTACCAGATACAGAGAGAGTATTCTCTTGATTAATGGACTGATTGTCAGTGGTAAATGTAGGTTATAATGAAAGGTAAGTCACTAGGGAATGGAGTCACGGTTCAAATAACGTTACTTACTAAGTGAAAATGTAAATCCTGGATATTGCGCTTACAATTTAGAAGCCGTCCCCGCAGTTATGATTATTACTGGTGTTATCTACTAAGTAAGACCTCACTAAATATTTGGAATTTATATTGAGGAACTATTGACTGAAGTAAAGTGAAGAGGCTACAGAAACGTTCTATATATTGTTCTCTCCAATATATGATTTACATGGGATATAATAACTAGGAAATTCAGCAAATAGATGTAAATGTCACATAAAAGAGTATTAGATTGTTCACATCTGAATACTTATTCTATGTAATCGTTTCATAATACGGTCATAAAGTCAGATGTATTTATTTGCTATTCAGTGGCCTTAAAAGTATCCTCATACTCTTAGCTTATTCCGTTAATTTTAAATTCGTCTCCTGACAATCGTAGTCCAAAAAAACTGGTTCATAAACAAGTCTATTATTTCTACTGCTTCGGCTCAGTCTGGAAATCAGTCTTCAGACGAATTACTTATTCCCCTCCCATATTGAACCCTAGTTATAGTATTATTACCGCTGGTCATACCAAACTTTGGTGACGTTATCGATTCCGAACAGCAGTACTACTACAGTGCATTTCAAAGATACAATAAGCTTGTGCATGTTATCAATTAAGTTGTGACCTTTTTTGTAACAATAACTTTATGTGTCGACGAAAAAACCGTCAAAACATGAGGGCATTAACACTGTCCATCGTTTATATCTCAGCCACATGAAAACAAACAAATCTTTAAGTCAGTTAAGTTAGTGTATTATAACGCGTAATTCTCGTACAGGTAAATAATGCATATTATACATAGAAAGAAGGATATGCGTTTAGGCATTGATATATATACATATTTTTTCCTTCACGTTCCCCAGTGGAACATAGGGCTTCAAGCTAGTGGCTTGAAGTTTCTGTAGCAGTGTTTATTTCACAGGATGGGGTTGCTAGCCTCATGTCCAACCTTTCCTCTTTACCAGCATTATTTCTGGTTTAGCGAGGTAAAGAAGTGCATCGGCCGTGGATCGAACCCTGGACCATATGCATGGTCGGCGAGCGTTCTAACCGCTATGCCACCGACTCGGATGTATATATATATTAATATATAAAATTTAAAACGCGATAACGTATACCCTCACTCTGGCCTGCGACAGGCTTCCGTGACGCGCAGAGGAAAGAGGATGTCACAAAATACATATACACCTGTCAGTTATCCAATGATGCCACAAATAGATGATTTGAATAGGTATATGCTGCAAGTTATTGAAGAAATGGGACGTGACATTAGGCCGACTTATGCCAACAACAAGAGAGACTGAAGAAAAATATTCATACTGCTAGAATTTTAGTCAGAGAGTGCATTTCGGAACTTGAGCGTGTAATGAGGGCGTAAACGAACGAAAGGACATTCGTTTACGCCCTCATTACACGCTCAAGTTCCGAAATGCACTCTCTGACTAAAATTCTAGCAGTATGAATATTTTTCTTCAGTCTCTCTTGTTGTTGGCATAAGTCGGCCTAATGTCACGTCCCATTTCTTCAATAACTTGCAGCATATACCTATTCAAATCATCTATTTGTGGCATCATTGGATAACTGACAGGTGTATATGTATTTTGTGACATCCTCTTTCCTCTGCGCGTCACGGAAGCCTGTCGCAGGCCAGAGTGAGGGTATACGTTATCGCGTTTTAAATTTTATATATTAATATATATATACATCCGAGTCGGTGGCATAGCGGTTAGAACGCTCGCCGACCATGCATATGGTCCAGGGTTCGATCCACGGCCGATGCACTTCTTTACCTCGCTAAACCAGAAATAATGCTGGTAAAGAGGAAAGGTTGGACATGAGGCTAGCAACCCCATCCTGTGAAATAAACACTGCTACAGAAACTTCAAGCCACTAGCTTGAAGCCCTATGTTCCACTGGGGAACGTGAAGGAAAAAATATGTATATATATCAATGCCTAAACGCATATCCTTCTTTCTATGTATAATATGCATTATTTACCTGTACGAGAATTACGCGTTATAATACACTAACTTAACTGACTTAAAGATTTGTTTGTTTTCATGTGGCTGAGATATAAACGATGGACAGTGTTAATGCCCTCATGTTTTGACGGTTTTTTCGTCGACACATAAAGTTATTGTTACAAAAAAGGTCACAACTTAATTGATAACATGCACAAGCTTATTGTATCTTTGAAATGCACTGTAGTAGTACTGCTGTTCGGAATCGATAACGTCACCAAAGTTTGGTATGACCAGCGGTAATAATACTATAACTAGGGTTCAATATGGGAGGGGAATAAGTAATTCGTCTGAAGACTGATTTCCAGACTGAGCCGAAGCAGTAGAAATAATAGACTTGTTTATGAACCAGTTTTTTTGGACTACGATTGTCAGGAGACGAATTTAAAATTAACGGAATAAGCTAAGAGTATGAGGATACTTTTAAGGCCACTGAATAGCAAATAAATACATCTGACTTTATGACCGTATTATGAAACGATTACATAGAATAAGTATTCAGATGTGAACATTCTAATACTGTTATATATATATAGGGGATAGAGAAAAGAAAACAGGATCACAATTCATCCTCCATAAAAGACGATGTAACACTGGAAACAGAAAAGTATGATAAAATTAAGACACAGGAATAATGAATTTCACAATTTAGTACTGATAAATAAACAAGTAACAGTAAAAAGAAAGAGTGCGGATGCATACAAAGGTCACTGATACGATGAGGATATACCTACACACGTTACCACGAGGAGAAGCTGTTTTACTGTTAGTTAATAAAAGCCAATTTCAGGCAATACTACTAAGTAATAATGCTACTAGTTAGATAATTGGAGTCTACAAAAAATGTTTGACTGATGTGCACTACACATGCGGGAAATATAAGTAGGATGTTTTAAAAGAGATTACTGTTAATTAAATGTACAGGTTAATCACAAAATAGTAGGTGTTGTTTATACATGCAGCATTGAATTTATGTGCCTGCATGAATAGAAGAGAGGATGAGAAGTAATATTATAATTAATTATGTAATGAATGGAGGCAACAAAAAAGAGACAACAAAGGGAAGTCAAATGAAGGCAACACTTAAGGACAAAACCCGCTTCACTAGTTCATACATAGATGCTGGCAAAAATAAATATAACAATGTTAAAATATATGAAAAAAGGGTCAAAAATTAATGCCTAGATATTGCGTAGGATATTACACCGAGGAGAGAAATACAAACAAACTGGATAGATATGATGAGTGTGCAGGGTGCATAGCGCAGATTCTCCTTTGGTATCTTCTTCAATAGGGAGCGATGCAGATCACCTAGTAGAAAAGAAAGGCAGACTAATGTCACTAACAATAAGAATACTGTAGTGTAAAACTGACATACCTAAAAGTTAAAAAAATTCAACTGAAGTTCCTTCAGTAAGTCTACATATTGTAATAGAAGTCGACTAACAGAAGGTCTTCCCTGCGTCAGTGGCACAACTGTTAGGACGCTCGCCACCCATTCACGTGGTCCGGGGTTCGATCCCCGGTCACAGACGCACTCCTTTACCTCGCTAAGCCAGAAATAATGTTGGTAAAGAGGAAAGGTTGGGCATGAGGCTAGCAACCCCATCCCCTAAATATAAACACTACTGCTACAAAAAATTCAAGCCTCTAGCTTGAAGCCCTATGTTCCAGTGGGAACGTGTAGAAATAAAAAAAAAACACACAAAAAAAACAGCTCTTGAATTTCACAAATGCTAGTTTCACACTAACACACAAGTAGTACTAGAAACCTTCAAGAAACTCGCATTTCCCAGAAGTTTGAGATTTGTGCCCACTCAGTTGCTAATTCTGAGATATTTTCAATGTGATATTTAGATCTGAGATGGACTTTAAGTAGATATAAGTTGTATAAACAAGTAGTTATTCCAGTTATTCATCTGATAGCTTCTTAGGGTCGGCGGAGACTTTGAGGAACAATTCAGATTGGCTACATCTTTGCTTTAACTGCATACCATTTAGCTTCAAGCTGAATAAGTCACAAGTGAATTGTCTTGCCAACTTAGATAGAAGCTAGAAAACCAGTTTGCAATCTGATACGAAAAAAAATGCATGGATTGTTGACTTATGACATGGAAAATGAGTGTTCTGAACCAGTATCTGGTTTACAGACATAGAGCTAAGTGGTTGGATGACATTGCCTTCTTCAACAAACAGTACTACTTAAAGTAGGATTAACTCTAGAGAAACATAACACCAATACATGGAATTCGTGGATCTTGTTTTAAGACGTGAGGAGAAATATGTCTTACTGACAGACAGTTAATAGTGCATAAATGCTATCGGAAAGGAATTAATAGTAATTTATACAATAGTAGGATGTAGAGTATCTTTTACATAAAAAAAGAAAATATACTTACCACCGCTTTTTAGGACTCAGAATATACAGGGAAAAGTAGAAAAGGAAAACAATAAGACAGAAAGATTTCAAATAAAGTTAGCTGACAAGAATTCAAGTATTGATATGTCAGCTCATGATGAAATCCTCCATGACAAGAATTCAATTAGAAATAGTTGTTAAACTGTAACCATTTGCATAATCAGGTCCATAATTTGAGTGATGAACACGATCTGATGAAAGATTATCATTAGACGTTATAGTGGTACAATTTAATCCTACTGCTTGTTGATAGAGTTCATTTGAAGAATAAATATCACTAGGTAACTGATACGGTGCGGATGGTATAATTTCTGAAGAGGGTAACAATTCATCAGATGATGAAGAATGAGATCGATGAAGACGAGAAAGAGGAGGAGGAGGACGGAGAGGAGCAGCAGAAAGATGAGAATTATTAGGTAAATCATTATTATTGTGAACCTCATCATCATAATTGTCTTCCGTCGAAATATGAGAAGGTGATTTTTGATGTGAATCAATCATTTTGGTGGATTTGTTTATCTTTTCACAACGTGATATTGTTTCATACTTCTCCATATTTAATGTACGTACATATAATTGTTCTTTAAGCAATTCTAAAAATTCATCTTCAGATAAATCACTTTGAAATAATAATTTAACTGGTTTTGAGTGTATTGGAGTCAAACAAAATGGACATCTTGCATGTAACTCGAAATTGTGTCGATTCAATAGACGTAAACCACACCAGTAACTAATATAGAGATAAAAAAAAAGAAAAAACGAAGAATAATACATCATTATTCTGATCTGATATGTTTGGTCCAGTTTCGATTCCCGGTCGATATACTCCTAAATCTGGCCTAGTTTACTAGCTGGTATTTCGGCCACACCATAGAAACAACACCACCACTACTGAAAATGCAAAACCTGACTGATAGAATTCAGTCTGTACCAAAGAAAGGACTAGACACGTCATATTAATTACTAGTGTCCAATCAAAATATCCACTACAGTCCTACAGGAGGGCAATCGTAAGCCAGAGTAGCTCAGTGGTAACATCTCTGACTGAAGCACTGGGTGACGCGGGTTCGAATCTCAGAAGGGACATGAGTTCCTCTTCGAGATTGCAGATACGCCTTGCTGACTGGTGAGTGCCAACCAGCACGAAACCTAGGTCCAAGGCTTCCTGCTGATTGCCTCCAACTATTTATTACATATATGATGAACCGGCGATTCAACAGTAATGCATTTAGCATAAAATCGTACAGTTCCGCGCTTGGTGAATGCATGCGTGCTGCTGAAGACTACTGGACTAGGACATCTATTAAGTGCTTCGTGAATACCAATGGTTTTCTACCTGACATCGACAAAGCAAATACAATGATTTTTTCTCCTGGTTGGTAATTCCCACTAAATGTATATTATAGATTGTTGGAGATGCTATAAACCAATATTATGTTAAATGCATACAATATGTAAAAGGAGAGAATTCATATTGCACATTTGTGCAAAGTTCTATTTCGAAAACAGACAGACAGACACCGTGTGCGAAATCTACAAACACCTAGAAAATACTCAAATCCTAGACTAAAGGAAACCATAGAATTATATGAGGTTTTAGAAGTTTGATGTCTAGCAGACTCAATCCACTAAACAATCAAGAAAAAATCACACAGTCATATAACACACCAAAATGACGACAGCGAAGAGTTCGAAAACCATCACCAATTACAGAAATTCCGAATGTAACTCCCTATGAGTCTATTTGATACAACACAGATCACATCATTAGTAAGAGTATGAGTAATAAGTTGTGCTTGAAACATCATTCAGTTATTAATACTGTTTCACTGTATGTGATATAAAAGGTAAACCTATTTAGTATAAAACTAATCAATCACTGTGTCCAAATTCTACTCTCACATAAAACCTGAATGCATTTCCCGAAAGTAACATTGTCATTTATTACACAGGAAAGGAATACCGCTTGTGGTCAGAAGACTGAACTAGTTTCCCATTAATAAGGCAATAAGTGTTGCTACATTTACTAACGAATAGTATGAATCATAATGTCTTGCATGAAAATAACAGTAACCAACATGTAAAATACAACCAATGAGTAATAAGAATAGTAAAGTCAATATAAGTCACCATTAACTACTTATTGAGTTAATTGATTGAAATAATCACGAAGGATAGTAACCAATGTCATGACAGCGAACAAAATATACCAAAAATGTATCGGTACAAACATTTAAATGCAATTTAAACAAATATAACAATTGAAACATTTATACTCACCGTACAGTATTTTCTGATGCAATATGTCCACAAGGATTGAAACAGTGTGTAGCTAAGCTTCGATCAACATAGAACGCCGATTCAATACCCATGCGCAATGGAATAAATGACGAAGCTTGTAAACACAGCGGGCAAGTACGACGACTATTATTTCTAATAAACAAGAAAAATAAAGACAGAAACAGAAAGGTTACAATGTGCTTGTTAATAAATTGCAAAGGAGGAAAATAGAGAGAGAGAATAAAAAGTTCAGCAAAGGCAGTTAGCTTTCCAGCGATTTTATTCAACAACAGATAAACAATGGCAATTTTTATGCATTTTCCTCCTACACGTTGACATAATTACAAATATTATTTAATTCAAAATAGTAACGAAGAGAGAGAATACAAGATGTACTGGATACAGAACTCCGCCACCCACTGGAATAAGCTGGATTCAAGAGAGGCAAATCATGCGCTGATCAAATTGCAGCTCTACGCATTATCATCCAACAAACCATAGAATGTGAACCATGTCTCTACATCAACTTCATAGACTTCGAAAAGGCCTTCACCAGACAGCCTTGACCGAGAAGTAATTTGGAAACTACTTCGACACTACGCTACGGAGTGTAGTGCCCCAAACCCCTTTATCAACCTCATTCAACAACTGCTTACATGACAATGTCACATGTTAATCAGTTGATCTACATCGGAATACTCAGTGGGGCGTTTGAAGTGAATGCAGGAGTAAGACAAGACTGCTTACAACTATCACCAATGATATTCCTAGCAGTGGTCGACTGGATTAGGCATCGGACGGTGCGTAGGGAGCAAGAAGAGAGGAATACGCCGAACCACCGGTAAGAAGACTCTGGAAGATCAGGATTTCGCGGCGGATGATTCATGTCTAATGTCACACAAACTGCAAGACTTGCAGACAGGCAGGCAGACGAAAAGCAACAAACTAGCGGAAGAGGCTAGCAGGCAGCGAAGACAGGACTGCAGGTGAACATAGAGGAGACGGAGCAACAACAACTAAAACTAATCACAGCCAAAGGGAGAGATTGAACAGAGGTTACTTCCTCCACTTATCTGAGAAGCATTGTTCAACCACAGACACACGGAACGCACGAAGATATCAAAGTCAGCCAGAATCGGAAAGGCAAGACATACCTTCATCAAGCCGACATCAGTTCGGAAATCTTCTGTGCTCTGCAGCCTAAGGAAGAAGACTCTGGTTTTCAACATCAATGTCAAGTCTTCCACATGAGTGAGAGACTTGACACGTCGCGAAAAGTATCTCCAACAGCCTGTTGCAGACTTTTATCAACATCTGCCTTCGCTCTATATTGAAGATAAGAATGCAGAGAAAGAATCAGCAACAAGAAACTCTGGCTGGGAACGAACCAATTAAGATCCTATCGTTCAACAAATATGTGGAAGAAAATCAAGATAGATTGGACATACACTGAAGAGACCATCGAATGTAAGGAGATGAGAGATTATGGACAATCGTGGGTCCACCTAGGGAGGACAACAGAAAACAGAACAAGGTGAAGATGTATTGTTGAAGCCGTATGTTCTATTCAGAACCCAAGGGAATAATAATACTAATAACGAAGGGGAACTAGAAGAGACAATAATTTTTAAATCGACCTGAAAGTTTGGATCACAAGAGGCTTAAAAACAAAATGACATAGGATTAGAAAATAGTTACCTAGCAGGTAGAGTAGTTTTTAACAAAGACAGGTGTGAACTTGGTGAAAATAGGAACAAATTGAAAAAATGAAGGGAATGAAAAAGCAAGAACCACGGAGCCAACCAGAACTGGATCTATGCTATATCTAGGGGTAGGTAAGAGTAGTTTCTTCTTAATATACCTGTCCGTCGATGCATGTGGTGAGGGCTTGCATACCAGAAAAAAATAAGCCGGAAACACTGTGCCTATTGTAGGGTTTTTTTTCGCTTTGTAAATGACTCTGAATAATGAGTTAGTTGAAATGGTGTGATAGATACCGACGACGTATTCAATTACACTGCTTCTGATTGAAAGAAACTAGTTTTACCTTTTACCTTTACCAAGGATCTAGTTGAGTTTGTGTTATGTTGCTGCTGCTGAATGGTTAATAATAGTTTTCCCCGTCGCCAAATTATTGCTATGTACTGGTCGAGAATTTAATAGTCCTGACGCAAGAAGGCGGAAATCAGAAGACCACTAAGTTTGCGATGATACTTCTATTTTCCAAACACAAGGAGAATGCAAAAGTGGTATCACACCAAAGTAAGTAGTCCCACAAGATTGTGTGAGCGAAATATATATGACCATCCAGACAAGTGTGTGAACAAATCAATGGACAGTCTTAACATGAATGGCTAATTATAATGAAGTATCGATCCATATATACATAGCAAAATATAGCAGACATGTCAACAATCACACATATAATGTGGATATCTGTCACCAAGCAACGGACTGTCAACAAACACTCATATTATATTATATATAATATAAGGGGAATATACATTGTTAAAGGAGACAGGTTCATCAAAGTGAAATAGTCACAGACTAAGCGAGCAACAAAAAGAGAGATCACCATACATATATATATATATATATATATATATATATATATATATATATATATATATATATGGATACATATCAGTTGGACTCAACAGTTGGCCCTTTTTACGTTCCCTTCATTTCTTTGAAATTTGTTTCTCGGATCATTCAATTCAATACTTGTCTTCGTTACTGTGTTCCAATCTTGTATAATTTTCTTTCTTTGTTCCTCGTGCGCTATACTCACAACTTGAAACACATATCAAGTTGAAAACAACTATCTCTTTTGATTTCTCTTCGTTACTATGGTGAATTAAACAATAATTGGGCGTTGGCGAATGTATAACAAATAAGTCGATATAAAAGAAGAAGAGGGAAAGAGTAAAGTCACATAAGATGCATACAAGTTCCCATTACTTCTGTCAAATATCATGCCTCTATTAATGATCATGCAGTTGAATGCGTTAATTATATTCCTCAACTAGAGTGTTTTGTGTTAAGCGACTATTAACTATATTGTCATTTAACTAGAAATGTACTCTGTTGCCCTGTTATAACAACTATTTCAATGAACACATACTTGAAAGTAGATACTGGTGTTTTAAGTATTTATTCACACGATACTAGCCTAGAAAGAAGGCAGATGTAAACTGCTGTGTGTGCGATAGAATTCATATAGCGAGACTAGAGTAATTTCGCAAACGATCTCTTTCAAAGACATTATCGTTTAACATTCATTTAAGGTGTGTTTCAAACTTTGTGTTCTTGTATTACTGCAAGCAAATTGTTCTGTGTAAAAATTTTCATAATTGAACTGTTTTACAGGTGTTTTACGACTTTGGGAAAAAGAACAATGAGAAGTTATATTTAATTCTGTAAAACGGTGGGGATAACTGGATTATATGTTTAAAAAATCAGGCAATAAATTACAACTTAAAAATTCACATTATCGACCAGAGTTTAAGCGGTCAGATAGTATCACAGCCCTTTTACAATGGAGATGACTTGTGTTGGGTCGTTTAGTTACAGAAGGACGCCGATTCTTTACAAGAGAGAGAGAGAGGGAGAGATATAGAAAAACCATCAAACTTACATATCACTTGCTGCACGCCAATTATGCCAACCATGTACATGACCACAACTCACATACACATGAGGAATTTGATCAGGATTAATTTGATCTGTATGTTCTGTAGATGAATTATTATTTTCGCTGCTTAAATTTTCACTGTTATTTACAAAACCCATTGCTTCACACTGAGAGATATTTGTACTTTGAGGTAAAAGCGGTAATTTCAATGTACGAAAAAGCACAGGGCATTGAATATGTGCTTGATTCAATCCATTGATCTATTGAAGTGATATAAGAAGGAAGAAATGAGACAATAAACAAAATAAAGATAAATATTGACACACGAAAAATAAACAGAGCAAAATATTTATTCAATGTACACCACATTTTAAGAGACTGATTTTTTTAGATTGAGATTATTTCAGAGCATTTATATTGTAAAAGAGAATGCATTGGATTATCGTGCAGTTGAGTTAGGTAGTCACATCGACTATATATCTCAGGTGGTTCTTATCACCTGACTTAGAGACAGCTAAAATCAAAAATTAAGTATAAAGTGGTTGGAGGCGGGACACCCTAGACTTTGGTTCCATGCATATTGTCAGTCATCATTAAGACGTATCTACAACGTCGAAGGGAGTCATCTCACGTCTGAAATTCTAACCCGTGTCATGCAGTACTGCAGTTAGAAACGTTATTCTGAACTATTCGGAATCAATTAAAAGTCACCAAGTCTGGTGACCGGTGCGTCAGTGGTTCAGCAGTAGGATATTCGCCAACCACAGATGTAGGCCGGGTACGACTCCCGGCATACGCAACTCTAGACCTAACCTAGTTTACTAGCCAACAAAGAGGTTGGGAGTGTGAGGGCAGTAAATTTATCTAGTGAAAACAACACACAAGGCTACTAAAACTTCAATGCTTCAAGTCTGGAAACTTACGTTGCACTCAGAACTCAAAGGAATGAAAAACGCTTGGTGACTCCATTGCAAACTTCACTGACATAATTCAACCAAAAGAAACACAAAGGATTAGATGCATGTGACACTAATTACTCCCTAATGGCTAATCAGGGTACAAAGGAAATATTTCGGTATGAGTGGTAATCAGGTGGCGCGAAAACCCAGATTAAGCACAGCCGCCGCCTATTAACTGATTCCACGGAATCAACATACAGTGATTGAAAATTTGGTTATTATATCTATAAATATTATAAACGGTTGACGGTGATCTGTTATTTGCCCCAGATACCATTATGTAATGAGAACTGTTATACAAATGAAATGTTGGGAGTGAAAATTTAGAGAGAGGAATTTGCGTAAAGCTGAGGATGAATTTTACTGATTACTAGTAGCTCTAACATAGAATCTTACACAGAAGTGCAACCCCCAAAAATGCTACACACCACATAGCACACAAACATAGAAAAAATAGACGAAAACAAAATTTAGGGGAACTGTAATGAGCAGAAATGTACGGAAGAAAGAATAGCAACATGAAAAAACATGACAGTCTAATAGATTTGGACGATTACAAAACGTGAATGCATCTGCGACATTGAGGACGATTTTCAGTCATATCACTAACATTGGTTTTTACCAACCCGAGAATCCGAAATGGAAAATCTAATCCTCCGTACGTGGCTGACTCAAACCAGCAGTCGAAGATTTCATGGACTGATATGCTAGGTTTTAATTTGGTTGTTCCTTACTCTTTACTAACCTAATCTTATATCAGCTAATGAGAAATATTCTCAACAAAGAAGGTGATGCGTTCAAATGCATAACACCTGTCCTAGTCATTTCAATCGATATAGCTTCAGAAGCTCATCCATTGACTTTCCCTCCCAACCTAACACTATACATCTCACCTCAATATTATTCACTGTCTCATACCACTTGACATACAAGGTAGAGGGTAAACATCTATCGTCAATGACAACTAGCCTTTTCATTTCTTCCATTTTCGGTACTCATGTCTCTCAGCAACCTCGTCTAGACTACTACCTTGCTAGTTTTCTAGCAGGTCCCAAGCCCGGATAAAGAGGGAGGGTTGGGGCGTGGTGCTAGCAACTCCACCCCTGTAAAACAACCAAATCGCTACACCAATATATTAAAAATTCTAAAAATATAAACAGTAGCCTTATTTCTCGCTGGATTCGGGGGAGTGAAATGACGCAGGCTGGTGAAAGCCTTCGGGAAGCCAGTCAGCCGATGTGCCTTTTTTCGATGAAAGCAAAAATAAGGATGGGTACTTGGAATGTTCGTAAAATGTACGAAACTGGAAAGCAGCAGAAATGAGGAGATATAGAATAAAAATGCTGGGATTCTGCGAGAGCAGATGGAACGGATGTGGTAGGTGCCAGCTACCAACTGGAGAGACAATAATCTATTCCGGCCACCCAGAGGACAATCACGAGCACATTGAGGGCCATCATGATGACACCAACAGCAGCCAAAGCTCTCAGGCTGTGGGAACCAATCTCCTCCAGGATAATGACAGCCAGGTTCAACTCAAAAGGAAGGAAAGTTACAGTCATTCAATGTCAATGCTATGCGCCTACAAACGTCTCAGAACAAGAGAAGAAGGAGGCGTTCTACAGACAACATGGACAACGTCCCAAATGGCGATATCAAAATCCTGATGGGCGACATGAATGCGAAGCTGGGACGAGACAACACAGGAAGAGAACTCACCATGGGTCGTGAGGCCCTCGGTGAAATGAACGACAATGGTGAACTCTTCTCAGACTTCTGCGCCTTCAATGATTTGGTGATTGGCGGTAGTGTGTTCAAACACAAGGATATACACAAGACGACATGGATTTCACCAGATGGAAACACCAAGAATCAAATAGACTTCATCTCAATTTCAAGAAAGTGGAGACGGAGCCTACTGGACACAAGGTCAAGGAGAGGAGCAGATGTGGGTTCAGACCACTATCTAGTACAAGGGACTTTCAAGGTGAAACTAAAAGCCTCGAGGATAGCTGGGGATAGGCCACAATGCAAGTTCAACACTCAATTACTGAAGGACACAACCACAAAAGACACCTTCACTGCAACTGTCAGAGCAAAGCAGGAAACACTACGCGACAGCACTGAAGAATCATGCGTGGAAGAACATTGGAAGTCTCTGAAGGCGATTCTCAACGAAACGTGTTCAACGGTTCTAGGAAGAAAGAAGAGACAAGACAAGGAATGGCTCTCAACGGACACTTGGAAATTAATAGAAGAGAGGAGAATGGTGAAAGAGAAAATGATTCAATGCAAGGACGGACAGGAGAAGGAGACGCTGAGCTCAACTTACACAGCACTGGACAAAGAAGTGAAGAAGAGTGCTAGGAAGGACAAAAGACGATTCTACGACAATTTGGTCACTGAAGCTGAGAAGGCAGCAGGCAAAAGGGACCTGAGGACACTATATCAGATAACCAAATCTCTATCCGGGAAGAGATCAACACAAGCGAAACCTATAAAAGACAGCCAAGGGAACCCAATTACCAAGGAAGAAAAACAGATTAAACAATGGGCGGATCACTTCAAAGGACTCTTGAACCGACCACCACCTGCAACCCGTCCAGAAATACCAACAACAGCGCGCACACAACTGCAAGTTGACACCAATCCTCCAACGAGAGCTGAAGTCTTGAATGCAATCAAACTTCTGAAAGCTGGAAAAACAGCCGGACCAGATGGAATACCCCCTGAAGCACTGAAAGCAGACCCAGAGACGACAGCAGACATGCTGACTCCATTATTGCAAAAGGTCTGGAAGGAGGGAAAGGTGCCTACTGACTGGAGGAAAGGTTACCTCGTGAAACTACCAAAGAAGGGAGACTTAGGACTCTGCAAGAACTGGCGAGGAATCATGCTCTCGTCGACGCCAAGTAAAATCCTGAGTCGCATCATCCTGGAGAGAATAAAGGACGCACTGGATACAGAACTCCGACCAGAACAAGCTGGATTCAGGAAAGGCAAATCATGTACTGACCAAATTGCAACTCTACGCATCATCATCACAGAACAAAGCATGGAATGGCAATCAAACCTCTACCTCAACTTTATAGACTTTGAGAAGGCCTTCGACAGCGTTGACCGCGAAGTAATTTGGAAACTACTCGAGTACTACGGCGTGCCCCAAATATTCATCAACCTTATTCAACAGCTGTACGACAACGGCAACATGTCAAGTGATCCACAACGGAAAACTCAGTGAGGCGTTTGGAATAAACACAGGAGTCAGACAAGGGTGCTTATTATCACCAATGATATTCCTAATTGTGGTGGACTGACTGGATTATGCGTCAGACAGTGGGAAACGAGAAGACAGGAACATCCTGGACCGACGTGAAGATCCTGGATTTCGCGCGTGGATGATTTATGCTTGATGTCACAAAAAATCGAAGACTTACAAGCGAAAACCGACAAACTGGTCGAAGAAGCACACAGTGAAGACAGGACTCCAGGTGAACATAGACAAGAAGCAGGTTATGAAAATAACCAACCAACCAACAACAACAGAAACATCAAGCGCCAATCACCATCAACGGGAGCGATTTGAAAGAGGTTACTTCATTCACTTATCTAGGGAGGCATTGTCTCAACTACAGGAAGTCGGAATGCACGGGGATGTCAAATCGAGCGAGAATCAGGAAGGCAGGCGAGAAACACATTCATCAACCTGAAACCAATCTGGAAATCTCCATCACTCAACTCAGCATCAACAACAAAATTTGGTCGGTTTTTCAATACAAACAACGTCAAGTCAGTCAGTTCTTCTATACGGAACGGATCAGAAACTTGGCTTCACAAAGAATATTTCCAACAGCCTGTTGCAGACGTGACCTTTATCAACAACTGTCTTCGCTAGCTCTATACTGAATATCAAATGGCCGGGCCGGAAAGAATCACCAACATGGAACTATGGGAACAAACAAAACAAGAACCAATCGCCAACCAACAAATATGCAGGAGAAAGTGGAGATGGATTGGACACTCGTTGAGGAGGCCGGTTGGTAACATCGCGCGTCAAGCCCTCGAGTGGAACCCGAAAGGGAAGGCGAGTGGGATGTCCAAGCGTGACATGGAGGAAATCGTGTGAAGAGGAGTTGAAACAGTATGGACTAACATGGATGGATTCAGGTGGAAAGTACAGCAGAAGACAGAAGTGGTAAGTGGAGACGTGCAGTTGAAGCCCTATGTTCCACTAGGAACCTAAGGGAACAATAATAATAATAATCGGGTTTCTGTTGTGTTCTAATGCTAATTTGTGGCATTAAATAATGTAGGGCCAAACCGTTTCTTTGTTTTAGCTTCATTCAAAACTATAAGCATCTAAGATTATGGAAACGTTATGCTGTTAGTACAAATAACCTCAGATGAATGTTTAGCTTGAACACATCCGAATCACTTGGACTGCAGTCTACACCGAAAATAATGTAAGGTGGAAAGTGAAACATGAGTCCTTCATATTCATGCTGACGTTTCGGCAGTAGTCAGTCCATCAGGGCAGATGCTTTAGGATGAAGAGAATTGATGATAAATTGTGATAAGTATCAGAGAATAAGTGAGATTACAGATAAATAATCTTGTTGGGAAGAGAACAGTAGTTGGCACTAATGATAACAATAACATTCGTACTATGTATAGGTATGAGACCGTTTCCAACCACTGTGACGCTTTTTTTAGCCTTGTTAGAAACCTGAAAGTCACTTGGTCTTGAAAATTTTAAAACTTCATTAGAGTAAATAATACGATCTGATGTCATACTTTTATACATAAAGACAAATAAATTAGGTGCAATATGTAGGATTTATTCGAAAAATAAACAAATCTACTATCCATAAAGCGAAAAACACTGGTGTATTCGCAATATGCAGGAAAGTTATACATGCAATTTTAATGTTTAAATGATGGTAGGCAATTAAAAAAAAATTAGGACAAATTTTTAATGACCCTAAATTTACAGTATAAGCAAACTACTCACCCGGACAAATTATCCATAAAACCAAAATAACAGGCCACCACCACCATGAGAAAAAATAAAAACTGATTTTCGGAAAGAAAATTATGAACTGTTTTCTTAAATGTCCTAATTCTACGACGTTGTGAAACAAACTAATACTTGAAATCAACTACAGAACACTACTAGTAACAACTTACAAATAAGTTTACTATACCCTGATTTCATACGTAATAAGGAATCCTATAGTAGAAATACTGGTGACAATATAGGATAACAATGACAAGGATGGTAGCAATTACTTTCCGTCGAAACGATTGTGGACTTTATATACGTTGAACAAGTGAACACATTGACAATGTAGAATGGATTCATATCTCTAAACAAGTTAAAAAAAGAGGATATTATTATAATATATTATTATTCCCTGTAGTTCCGAGTGGAACATATGGCTTCAACAACACATCTCCACTTTGTCCTATCTTCTGCTGTCCTCATCAGCTTGGATCACGATTGCCCACAATCTCTTATCTCCTTCATGTCACCCCCTAGGACGACCCACTCGTTGCTTCCCATTAGGATTCCACTTGAAAGGCCTGACGCGCGATGTCATTCGACAGCCTCCTCAATATACGCCCGATCAATCCATCTCAATTTTCTCCTTCATATTTTTTGAACGACCGGACATTGGTCAGTTTGTTCCCACAGTTTCTTGTTACTTATTCTTTCTGGCCTGCCATTTGATCTTCAGTATGGAGCGAAAGAAGCTGTTGATAAAAGTGTTCAGCCTGTTGGAAATCCTTTTCGCGACACGCAGTGCAAGATTCTGACGCGTAAAGAAGAATTGGCTGACTTGACATTGGTGTTGAAAATGCGAATTTTGTTCGTTATGCTGGCTGAGTACAGAAGATTTCCAAAATGGTTTCAGGTTGATGACGGGATAGAACATGAAAATTAGTGTATGAAGGAATCTAAATGACATGGAATATAGCTTATTTCCTCAAGGATATCAACTGTCGTTAATTTTCTTCTAGGGAACTTAAAGTCACACCAATCACAGAGATTAAATCGATTAGTATGTGAATCGATTTTGCGACTTAAGTTGGATACTTGAAGAAACTTTGAGTATGGATCTAGTTAACCCACGTTATTCTATATTAAGTTGTTTATTAAGTTATATCACACGATGAAACAGCATTATTCACTGGATAACGTTTCGAACACAATATACTGTTCATAATCATATCAGAATTATAATCACACAACTTCGAAACTTTAGTTTTTATAGTTTACTTAGAGTTCCACAGTGAGTTGGAAATTTTCTGTCTTACACTTTTAGCATCACATAAAATATCTATGTATCGTTGAGTTTTTATACTTAGTCACCCGAGTAAACAGTCTTTTATAGTTGCTTCTAGTTTTACCCAACGAGATACAAGGAGAGAGTTGTGAAAAGAAAGGGTATTCAGAGTGTGACAAGATAATATTTGCTAATTCCTTGCAGGAATCCATGTATCTCTCTACACTAGTGTTAAGCAGTTGGTTTAGCAACACCACAGTCACCCTACTGACGGCTTTCAGTGCCCTGCTCGGTATAACAAAGTCTTTCTCAAGTAACCCAGGAAAGATTGAAGAGGGGGGGGCAGTCAAGAAGTATAGGCAGAATAAGAGAATTAACAAATTAACCGTAACAGTAGAGACGGAATGATACCAGATCGTCTTAACTTCCTTGCGTAGGACATCAGACGAAATATCTTACTGGAAACTAACATGATTTGGGAAGACCAGGAAAGATCAGAGGAAATACATTGTCCAAGGTGGGATTTTAAAAGTTTTTTCTTTGAAGGCTCGAAAATTTTCTCATTTTCCACTTTGATCCTAATAAAAAGGGGCCTAACAAGTATTGGAAGACTACATAAAAGTATGCTTATCACCACAAAACTAAGATGGTGTGTATGTATATATGAACAGAAAAACAGTGACGAAGGAAAAAAGTAAAGCCATCTCCTCCTTAGTCTAGGCATGTTATTACTTTTAGCGACACCATTATTATTAAATTCATATGACAGAGAAAAAACAGCTGACCACAGCATAACACCGAAAATGACCAATGAACAGACTAAAAGTAAAGGGAACAAGAGAAAGTGAAGTTACCATTTTCATGAGATCTTCTGAACAAGCAGTATATCTCAACCCTGATCTAGATCGCCACAACAAAGTCACTCCGCAAAGATCTATAATTGTCATATCTGTGAGCACATTGTCTTCATTAACCTAGAGTGAAAAACGAAATATGAATGGGAAATTCATCGTACTATAGAAATAAAGTCAATAGGTATGTTGAAAAGAAGCATTTTCTAAAATATGCTCTAACATTACAAGCAAACAGATCGTGCATTATTTCCCATCTAGATGATACACGGATGAACGTGGAATCATCACGCACTACCAGGGTAGGATTAGTTTTGCCTACAGATTTAGTCCTTCCCCAGTACTGACGATACAGAGTCCTGGCTTAACTATAGTTAAAAACAGAGTAACTTAAACTTTATCTGTTTCGAAAACATGAAATAAAGCATACAATTACACCAAGAAAAGCACAAAATCCATTGTCACTCAAGAAAAGACAAAAACGTACCGAACAGTATTGAAGGAACGGACAAAATGAACAGTTAATTAATTACATATACACCCAATAGGGTGACAGGAAATGAACAACACTCAAGGTCACATCACGTGGTGAGAGTTACATTAAATTAGCCAATAAACGCGACGAAAGGGTCATGTAATATCGATTAGCTGTCTGTCAAACTATCTATCTATCTATGTATCGAGATTATAACAGCCAGGATGAAATAAAATAACTTATGAGTCAGCGAAGATCAATTTATCTGAAAAATTTACCACTCTTATATACCCCCTGATTTTTCCTGGACATAAGGGACAGGCAGTTTGGTCAAATTTAAACCAACATGACGAGACGGAATACTTGTTTATAATGCAGTCCAAACCTATGCAACCAATTAAATTAGTTACTTACTAGTTTAACTTTTCGACGTGGATAATACTTCTCTGTAATGCATTTTTTGTATAGTAAAGATCGTTTAATTCTCGATCGATCGGCTCGGATCAATATGTCTTCTATCTCTGTTTGATGAACATTTTTTTTCAGGTATTCAGTCTTCAGGCGAGTTACTTACTGCCTTGTCATACTGAATTCCAATCACAGAATTATTATTATTATTATTGTTAGTCATATAAACCCATATCAAATTTTGGCGACGTTACTGAGCCCCAAAATAAAGTATTGTTATCGCACATTTTAAGTATACAAAGTAATATAGGCATGTAATTTGAATTAACTTGATCGAAATCAGTGATTATAAAACAAAAAAAATCAATTTATAAAAAACGCATTTTTTTTCTCTTGCCTAATTCCACAGACTCATATTAAAGTCAAAATGTTCAAAGGCTTAGATTATTTTTTGGAAAAGCACTCTAAACAGGTTGACAGTTCAGTGTTTTAAAACTGAAAGAAAAAACTGATTCGTAGTAGAATTAAAATCAACCAAGTACAGGTTACCAGTGTGACTGCTCATCGACCATATAACCACGACAACTAGTTTCGTTTAAAATGAGTTAAATATCGTGCATTTGTCCACTGAGCTAGCAAAAAGTAACTGTTTCCTAATTAACGTCATCAGTCTACTCGTTGTCCACGGAGAAACTGAACTGAATGCAGGGGGCGACAATGATTGGTTGGTAGCTGAATAGATAATATATATTAATCTCACAGAAGTAAAATTGTACCAGGATTTCCTACTTTAATGATTGATAACCTGAGTTATTTAGGTCTTTCCAATACTATGATGATAATCACTCTACTAAATTAAGGTTATCATTCCTGACAAAAACTGTTTCACATGTTTACATCAACTGTGAAAAGAATAAATTTTACGGTAACAGTGATGTATGCAGAATGAGGATTTGTATTTCCTAACTTCCGGTTATGCGAACAGTTTTGCAGCTATTTGTCGGTTTAACTGCCTACCAGAAATTTATGCTCGATAATTATTATGTATCACTGAGAGCAGTTATTTTTAGAGAAATTACTGGGATAATCGTTTATGGAAATGCTGTTCACCCTTGTTTCACTCATTGTGGTATCACTTAATTAAGTCAGCAATCATAGAAATTAATTTGTGCCAGCTAAACGACACGCCTTTCCAATCATTTGGTAGCATTTCCCCTTAATTCCTTGCGTTTCGAGAAGGAACATAAGATTTGAAGCTTTGATATATTTTTTTTAAGGAGTAGGATTGTTAATCCCCGCCCCCCCCCACCGTCTAACAGTTTCATGAATATGTAGTTTAGACTGACTTAACAATAAGTGACCATGATAATTTCAGCTCGGAGAACAACTCAAACACGTGAACGTGACTGGTTGGCATAACATGCTGCAAGGGATGACACGAATATGTACGCACCTCAAATTATTGAGAATCTATTTATATTCTCAATGCAATGTTCTAGAGTCTGTCTGTCTGTTTTCGACATAGAACTTTGCACAAATGGGCACCAGTTCAAGTCGCCACACTCCGTGTAGCACGCGAAGCAAGAGAAGAAAGTACAAGAAAAGCATAATAGAGACAGTGAGTAGAGGTGTGAGACAAGAGAGTAATAAAGAAAAACAAAACAGTTTCATTGGAGATCATAAGTCACAAGGAGTGGATGCATCTGCACCAGCCATTGAGAACGATTTTGAGCCATGTCACCAATTGTTTCCAACCATTGATTTTTACCGTCCCGAGGACCCCAAACAGTCAGGAAGTCTACACCTTCCTACGTGGCTTAGACCAACTGTTGTGGATTTCATTGACTGGTGCCATGTTTTTGTTTGACCTCCGCTAGCTTTCTTCCAGCCTGACCCTATATCCGCTAACATTGCTCGTCGAGGGAGGCGATGGCTAGGCATACGTAACACATGTCCTAACCATCTCAGTCTTTGTAACTTCACGACTTCGTCGATTGATTTCCCCTGTTTACCTAGAACTCGACGTCTAACTTCAATGTTGCTCACCTTATTATGCCACTTTACACGGCCAATAGAGCGCAGGCACCTATGATCAAAGACAGCTAGCCAGCCTTTTCATGTCTTCCACTCTCAGTGGCCAGGTCTCACACCCAGCCATAATGGAGGACGGAGCGGACTGATGAGCAGTACACCCGCCCTTTGGTCGATAGTCGAACATCTCGTCTACGCCAGAGTCGGCGTAAACTAACAAATGCGAAACGAGCCCCTTGTATTCGTGCTGAGATTTCGTCAGAGATCAGCCGTTGGGGCTGATGGTACTTCCCAAATAAGTGAAGCGGTCAACGTGCTCTACCACTTTACTTCCTGTTTTTAAACTAGGCGTCGATGTAGTCCAGTCCTGTAACATCATCTTGCATTTGGCGGGAGCGAATCGCATGCCAAACATTCGTAGATTGCAGCTCAAGGTGTTTAGAAGACTCTGCATTTTGTCAGCGTCTTCGCCTCGAAGGACTATATCGTCTGCATATTCCAAGTCAACGAGATTATTCCCTGACGGTAACAAGTCAATCCCTAAGTCGCTGAAGTGTGTTAGGGTTAAGTCTGATAGGATCCCACACATTTTGGTATTTACTGTTAATCTTGTATATATGGTATATTATCATTCTCACACATTTTGGTATTGACTGCTAATCTTGTATATATGGTATATTATCATTCCCACACATTTTGTTACTGACTGTCAATCTCGCACATATGGTATATTATCATCTCTCACGCACTTTGTTATTGGCTATTAAGATAAATTATTTCAAATTCTGTTAGCTGTCCATATTGTTGTAAAATGTATAAATACCATGGCTTTCTTTGTCGTTGTTTCACTTCAATACACAGTCACAGTCCAGCCTTTGTCTTTTGATATTTGCGTGCTTTACTAAATCGGAAGGTACGACAAGCAGATAGGCAGATTAGTTCAGGCGCAGACAGAGCAAGGTGAAAACGTCTTCCTTGAATTCCCTACAGTTATAACAAAGTCCATTAACACATCTATGATGAAGTTGAATAGAAAAGGGGATAATGGGCATCCTTGACAGACACCACTGGTCGTCATCAGTTCAGATGACAGCTCGCCGTAAGCTCTCACCTGGCTGTATGAGTACGAGTACAATCGGTTTTAGCTAAGACTTTCCAGCCGACTAGCCCTTTATTGACAGGTATTATCAGACAACTTCTCCAGTGCAGTTTGCGACCGAGTTTTCAACGTAGAACTTGACACATAAGTGCAACAGTTCAGGCTACTACATTCCATAGTTTGTGACTACTCAGAATTGTGCACCTACGACGATTAGTTATTGTCGCCAACCTGCTATTGTGCAGTTATTGGCTCAGCTGTTAAACTACATCAAAATAACTATGCAACTATCTATAAGTTCCCTATCAGATAGCTTCATCAGCAGAATTGCATCAAAAAGCTCCACTGTCAGCATATACCAATGAACAAACCAAATGGCAAATAAAAGGAATAATATATATGTATTTACAGCTATTAAATACTAATAAAGTGAAATTTTTCTCTGCAATTTACCAGATTAGTTGGTATACATCTATTGCTTCGCATTTCGTAAACGGAACCACAAACACTGACTTCCCGCCACTGAGATCGAATATTAGAACTACGGTGAAAAAATAAAATATATGATAACAAAAAGACATCGTGAATATAAATTTGAAAGGGTTAGGATTAAAGCTGAAATGATAATTTACTAAGGAATAAGTCAGTAAACACAATACATTTTTGATACTTCCTGAGTTGCGCTGCTGGACAAATACATCACTCTTAGTCACAGACAAACTCAGCTGGATTTCGTAATCAACAGTCGCATTACATTTGAAATCAGTTACAAATACTGGATAAATACGTTGAAAGACCGGGTTAAGCGTGAAGTGTATGCTTACATTTATTGTTTAACAAATCACAATAAGGTGTACAACAACCTTTAGTCAAAAATTTACTTTTTTTACACAGATAGTATTAACGATTTCGATAATAATAGTGTGAATATATATATATAGTCTGTAACAACACGCGATTGTACATTTTTTGTTAGATGTTCAAATGAGAAACATTTGTTTAAAACGGTTCATGGTGAAATACACATAACTTCGAGTACAATCTGAAATACAGTGTGCTGCTGGTCGCTTCGTCTTGTAACTAGTCTATACTGTCTACTTGTTTCATTACTAACCGTGTTGTATACTTTGGGTTTGCAGGAACCTCCTATCTTCATCCGAAGACTATTCTAAAAACGGTGAACAGCTTCTACCAGTAGACACGATCCCAGCAATGAACGCTTTTATGGATATTAATAATTAGTAGCAGTGGACTTTAACTGTAAAACAAAGTAACCGATTAATTTATCTAAGTTATTACTGTATTTTTTCCTAATATGCTGTTACACTATCATCTCATCAACTTGGATTTTTATTCAAATACTTGTTCTGTTACTGTGCTCGTTAGAAAGTCCAATATATATATATATATATATATATATATATATATATATATATATATATATATATATATATATATATATATATATATATATATATATGGCAGTGCAAATAATTTTCAGCCAATACACCAAAAATTGCCAATACTTGATTTTTTACATACTAAGAATCACAGTTAAGCAATTCACGCCATCTTACTGAAACAACTAATGAAATATATTGACCTTTTCAATCCTCAGAAAGCACAGTAGAAGTCTGAATGTGACCCAGTAACTGACAATCGAGCATCTTAAGTAGTGGACTACAGACCTCGCATAGTTATGAGAGACGAACTATGGGCATGGTAACACGTATATCGCGTACAAATGGTGTACGCTTTTAGTAGGATTTATGGCTTCAACCTACATTTGTTGAGTCTTTTAAAGTAAACCATAAACAATAACAACAGCAGCATACGCTAACTGAATCTTTGGATTACAATCATAGAGTGGCGTCTAAAGCTTTCCCAGGATTGAATAAAACTCATTATGTCGATTACTGTGTTTCACAGAGTTTATTTTCCGGCTGGGTGACCTGTCCCTTACTTTAGAAAGAACAATAAGAGTAGTGAAAATATTGGTTCTGAGAAAGCGTTGTAGACAAAGACCACATAGTTGAAGACAGAACAGATGGATATTGATAGATAAAGGTAATAACTATGTTGAAAATATATATATATATATATATATATATATATATATATGGTGAGATCAGGCCGTGAGAAAATAAGTACAAGGCTGATTCAACAACCAATCACAGCAGACTTGACGTGGCAAAATATGATTCGCAGATAGAGAACTCTATTTTTTGAGGAATCCCGAAACAACCAATCAGAAGCCTGTGTTTGTCTGCTTAACTTCTGATAAGCATAAGCTATAATAATGTATAGGAAATATATATAAATACGTGTTGATTTTCGTAATAAAACGATCCGTTGCCTGGCCCTTGTCTTCTGTTGTTATATATATATATATATATATATGAAAGGTTCGGTGAGAAAGTCGTTGAACGGTACGACATGATCAATTAAGGCTGCTTTAAGTATCTGAAAGAATATCCCTAATACATGGTATTATGGCTTATTATGAGTAGGGAACAATTTCAGTCTTAATAAAAGAACAGTTAACAAATACACATACACACACTCGACGATCCAGTAACACATGATGAAGTAATTCAGTAAGTTCGCTCAGGGTCACTAAATAGCTCGATTAAGTAAAACAAAAGTTACAAATAAATAAACATTAGAATTTATCTGATTTCAACACTTACTCATAGTCTGTACAATTTGTAGGCGTTTCAGTAGTGCGTGTGGAAGGTAAGGACACAATTGCAGGATACACATTTGCAAAGAAGACAAATAAATAAAGTAACCTAAGAGAAAATCTGTCTGATTTTATCATTATTGTTATTACCAAAAGAGAAATTAAAAAACAAGGAAGAAGAAATGGACACCTAAATAATTCCTAGTTTGAATAAAGTAAAACAACAGTTTTTGCAGAAGAAAATGGTGCCATCATTGATTTCGTTGGCTTCCCCTCATCAGCTGCTTACAGCCCAAAGACAATATTAAGTTTATCTGCAGAAACAATTTAACATACTTGCACAGGGTTCGTTTTTAAACAAAAAATCAATCTATGCAATGCTAATAATAACAATCATTTTATCCTAAACAGTAATAATCATACATAATGGAGCAAATACCTTCCAAAGTGCCATTGCATCTCCTTGACACGGGTCATGAGGTGGACGTCACAAGATCGTTAAAAATTATTAGTAGGCAAGAGTTCAATTCTCCTCATGTTTGCCGAAGCAATCTCAATCAGGGGCCTGAAACCCAATTTATGCGTTCAGAAAGAAGCAGTTATCAGTCTTTCCTTGCACTGGTAACTGGATGTTTTCATTCTCTCTTCAATTTGATTACGTAACACCGAAAGATTCCATTATTTCTGATTATTATTGTTGTTTGGGGTATTGCTTTGTATTACTAGCATTGTATGCATATATTGATTTCTTGTTTACAAAAGGAACTCTGCGCAAGTATGTTAAATTGTTTGTGTTTTTTATTCCTTTACGTTCCCGGTGGAACATAGGGCTTTAAGATATAGAATTAAGGTCTCAGTAGCAGTGGTGTTTGTTTTTACGGCGTACGGTTGCTAACCTCATACCCAACGTTCCCTCTCTACCAGTCTTATTACTGGCTTAACGAGGTAAAGGAGTGCATCGGCCGGGGGTCGAACTCCGGATTACGAGTGTGGTTGGCGACAATTCTACTGCTGTGCCACCGACGCACTAATTATTTCTGTAGGTAAACTTAACAATGTCTTTGGGCTGTAAACAGCTGATGAGAAGCTAACGAAATAAATGATTATACCATTTTATTCTGCAAAAACTGATGTCATTGCTTTAATTCGAATTCATAAAGTTTATCTGTAATTAGACGTTTTACAGAATAAATAGTACAAGTAGTCTTCATATGACAGATAATAGAAAGAATGGTCAACTTATCACTAAATTAAAACTCAGAACTATTTATTCTCAAACACATACCGTTGAAAAAGTATGAATACCGTTCTTTTTTTATATGATGCTATGAGTGTTTCTCCAGAATGAGTACAAAAAAATGCAACAGGAGGCAGATTAATTCATCTAAGTAAATACTGGATAGAATGAAACTGACGGTGTGCATCTCACTCACTTCAAGTCACTATCTGATATAAAATTAGACAGCTGACTCTGCACAGACGTCATGCAACATTGGCATTGAATTATTTCACTAGTTCTTAATAGGAACACAGTTAGGCGTTTTAAATTCAAAATGATAAATCACTAAAAACAGTAATTTATTTGATATTATGTAGGCATGATAAATCATCAGAACTCCGTGTCCCAAATAGATCAAATATACAGACTTTGCCAACAAGATAAGACATTTAACTAATTTGACACCAATCATGAATTTAGGTAAATTTCGATAAGACAACTGCTCTGGAGAGACAGAGACGCATTCCCATAGGACTTCGTAAAGAAAAACTCTCAAAGGACGACTAGTGATACAAAAGTGATAATAAATGATGTCAGTTCGTGATAGACTAGTGATTCAGTTCAGTTTAAAAAAATATTTAGTTCATACTTCTTTCCATTAAGCAAAATTTAGAACGCAGATATGTGGAAAGGAAGAGAATCCCTTAATTTGTATTCATAGAATACGTTATTTGGATCAAAAGGAGATCCGATGATGGTCTGTAGAGGTTATCAAAAGTGAATTGCGATATTGCATAAAATTCACTATTGAGTACTTCAAACCAAAATCAGTTGCAACAACCGTGCTCAGGAAAACAAATATGAATGTGAAACTTCCCGATGTAACTTGAATTTATGTGTTACCTGAAGTAATATGTATTTTGGAAGAACAGAGAGGCTCGCTGATGAAAGGCTGTGTGGACATGGGCCGAAGAGTTTATAATTTAGAGGTGAAAGACTATACACATCATGCGATCGATTCGATCATGCCTTTTGATATTCCCCTGCAGAAACAGGAGCAATCTGTCACCTGCAGCTTACTCTACGCGAATAAAACGACAATATGCTTCACCTGGTGCGTCAGTGGTATAGTGGTTAGAACGCTCGCCAAGCATGCATATGGTCCAGGGTTCGATCCACGGCCGACGCAATCCTTTACCTCGCTAAGCCAGAAATAATGTTGGTAACGAGGAAAGGTTGGGCATGAGGCATGGGCAAGCCACTAGCTTGAAGTCCTATGTTCCACTGGGAACGCGAAGCAAAAAAATGCTTTACCTTACTGTTGTGTTACTATGGTTCACAAATTTATAAAAAAAACAACACTGAAAGGCGAAATAAATACCTGCAGATTGATTTGTCTGGTCAATAATTTTCGCTGGGGGAATGCGTAACATCATGACACCATTTGTTGTTAAACCATCCATAGAATTACCGCATTTCCACTTTATAGCACGTTCCTTTAATAAAACAAAAGTAAAAGCAGCACATACACAAATTAAATAGACACATAGATTAAAACAATTAGTCCCTTTCAAGTGTTGGTTTTGTAGGGATTTGGTTTGATTGTCCCTTTGAAAAATTTGAACAAGGCATTAGGAAGACAAATTTCGCGAGATGATTTCATTTTGTAGTTTCTTTACAACCGCTTTACAACTAACATGGTTAACAATGATAAAATAAAGTTCATGAAAGTTACTCAGTTAAATAAAAAAAAATGCTGGTAACGAGGAAAGGTTGGGCATGAGGCTAGCAACCCCATCCTATAAAATAAACACTACTACAGAAACTTGAAGCCTGTAGCTTAAAGCCCTATGTTCCACTGGGGAACCTGAAGGAAACAAAAAAAAAGAAATGTGCAGCGTACTGTACACCCTGAGCAACTTACATGTTCTTACACAAGTCATATTGCCAGTTAATAAGCAACTTTGTAGATTAATGGCACATTTGGAACTGGGTTACCCTAGCTATATCTCCACCTCATTTCTATCTAGGCATCAGAATGGATGGTGGCTTGAATTGTCTAACGTGTAATCCGCTCCCCCCCTCCCCACCCCATCAAAGATGCAGATACATCTATCTTATCTAGAACATTGTAATTTAGTTACCTTTTTACCTTATAATCGTATCACACCAATAATATACGAACGTATCGATGGTCTAAAACTGGTTACCGTCGAATTTTATTCACCTTCAGTATTTGTAACTTGAATATTTCCATAATTTATTCAGAGTAAAAGTAGTTAGAGCGAATAATTGTTTTTTATAAATTCTTCTTTAGTCTCTACAATTATAAATCCTTTAATGTAAGCATACAATAGCCAGTAAAAGAAAATCAGAATCATAGCAGAAATATATTGTGGATTCATAATTGTAGACCCTAGAGGAAGAACTTACTGATGAAAACAATTATTTACTCTAACTATTCTTGTTCAATATTTGTTGTGTTATAAACTGATGTTGTTGATGTGCTCAAATAGTAACAATGTCCAATCAGTACTAAGCGTAGCATTGTTAGACAACTAAAGACAGGTTTTCTTGAAATGATAAATATTCATTGTTTTGTTGTATAGTTTGAATTTAAATGTAGTCGGGAGTGAGGATGGATTTCCCGCTGTTGACATTGGTTGGTGGTCGCGCTAAAATCACGAATCGGTAGAAGTTAGGATTCATGAGTTATCCATTGAATCGGGTCTCAGTGGCTAAACGGTGTACAAGCTTGCCTTGTAACCAGGATGTCCCAGGTTCCAACTCCAGTGGGTGCACACTGCCGATGATTCTCAAACTAGGATGAAACAGCTGTCCAGTACTCCCTGGTTGGTTTTCAATGGTTCTTTAATAATGATAATAATAATAATGATTTACTTTATTCCGAAAACAGTACTTGTGATACAGAATGGAATTTTCAGCATTAATCACAATATTGCATGTAATTTCCTCAAATTATAAATAAAAATTAATCACACAGAAAATTTTCCACATTTACAATAGAGGTAGTGTCAAAAACATGCAGCATATAAAATGGAAATAGCAGTAATAATGATAACAACTAAGGTATTAATTAATAATACAAGTTAAAATTACCGTGGGCTTGTTTCACACAGTATTGTCGATGCGGTATAGAAATCCTAGCATGTTTAAAAATATTGAATATAATATCCTCTTTACATGATATGGTAAGGGGAAAAACAAAGATTACTGCCGTCATGGAGGTAAGTTGGTGTTTGCAATTATGAGAGTAAAAGAAAGAAGTAACAGGACCATAAATATAATAGAAATAATAAAAGTACAACTTGAAGGTATATAAGGATGGATGGAGGAAATTGTTTATTTACTAGATGAAAAAAGGTTAGTTAATTGTCGCCTGACACTATTTTCATCACATAAAATACGTGCCCAGTATGGCGTCATAGAATTTTTATACTTAGACGTGCGAGCATACAGTTTTCTGAAGTTACTCCTTGTTTCTACCTGAGGAGATGCAAGGTGAAGGCTGAAGGTAAAGTGGATGCTCCAAGTCAGAAAACATCCTTTTAGTAAATTTATTGCACGAAGTCAAGTGCCTATCGACAACGACGTTAACTATGTGGTCCGCTGGGACACCACTCACCCTACTGACACTCTTCAGCATTCTACGAATTGTGACACAGTCTTTTTAAAGCAAACCAGGAAAGAATAAGGGTGAACAATAAAGAAGAATAGGTAGGATGCAAGAGTTTATGAACTGTAAGAGGAGGGGTTGAGTTATACCCGAGTGTCTTAACTTCTTAATGTAAAATGTCAGGCGGAATATTTTACTGGAGATTGCTAAGACATGGGAAGACCAGGAGAGATCCGAAGAGAGAATGAGTCCAAGATACTTAATTTCTGATTTGATTCCTATATCATTGTCGTCAATTTTACAAGTGTCATGAGAATCGATGACTTCTTTTAACTGTCGTTTACATCTTAAGCTGAAATCAACAGTTTGACACTTAGAAGGATTCAGTTTAAGACCGTTAGACTCAGACCATTTGCTGACTCCCGATAGAAAGCTATTTATTTGAGTACAATCTAGCTGGGAGTTAACAGCCATTGAGACCGTTAAATCATCAGCGTACTTCACAAAGTTTATTTCATCAGAGTGAGGCAAGTCATGCAAGAAGAAAGAAAAAAGAAAAGGAGAAAGGACAGCGGCTGAGGGACACCAGCTTCAGTAGGCAATGAAGTGGAAGACTTCCCTTTATATACGATGTAATGCTTCCTTTCTGAGAAATAAGAATGTAACCAGTTAACAGCCCACCATTCTGTTTGACTAGCAGCAGGCTTATTTAATAAGATGTCCCTAGGGACCGAGTCAAAATCACGCGTGGTCAAACTCGAAAAAAAACCTAATCATTACAAATCAACTCTTAAAAATTAGATGTATTATCTTTAAACACAAGTTGAAATTCTATTTTTGTCATGAAAAGTAGTTATTATTGTTCCCTAGTGGAAAATAAGGCTTCAATTGCACGTCTCCACTTGCCACTTCTGTCTTCTGCTGTACTTTTCACCTGAATCCATCCATGTTAGTCCATACTGTTTCAACTCCTCTTCACACGATCTCCTCCATGTCACCCTTGAACGTCCCACTCGCCTCTTCCCTTTCGGGTCCCACTCGAGGGCTTGACGCGCGATGTTACCAACCGGCCTCCTCAGCGAGTGCCCGACCCATCCCCACTTTCTCCTGCATATTTGTTGGTTGGCGATTGGTTCTTGTTTTGTTTGTTCCCATAGTTCCATGTTGGTGATTCTTTCCGGCCCGGCCATTTGATATTCAGTATAGAGCTAGCGAAGACAGTTGTTGATAAAGGTCACGTCTGCAACAGGCTGTTGGAAATATTCTTTGTGAAGCCAAGTTTCTGATCCGTTCCGTATAGAAGAACTGACTGACTTGACGTTGTTTGTATTGAAAAACCGACCAAATTTTGTTGTTGATGCTGAGTTGAGTGATGGAGATTTCCAGATTGGTTTCTGATATGTATCAACATATATATATTTATGTGTGTGTGCATGTCGGTCTCTCTTTCTATTTGCTCTCTTAGTCTGTGACCATTTCACTTGTATGAACTTGTCTCCTTTAATAATGTGTATTCTCCTTATATTATATTATATTATATTATATTATATAATATAATAACTACTTTTCATGACAAAAATAGAATTTCAACTTGTGTTTAAAGATAATACATCTAATTTTTAAGAGTTGATTTGTAATGATTAGGTTTTTTTTCGAGTTTGACCACGCGTGATTTTGACTCGGTCCCTAGGGGCATCTTATTAAATAAGCCTGCTGCTAGTCAAACAGAATGGTGGGCTGTTAACTGGTTACATTCTTATTTCTCAGAAAGGAAGCATTACATCGTATATAAAGGGAAGTCTTCCACTTCATTGCCTACTGAAGCTGGTGTCCCTCAGCCGCTGTCCTTTCTCCTTTTCTTTTTTCTTTCTTCTTGCATGACTTGCCTCACTCTGATGAAATAAACTTTGTGAAGTACGCTGATGATTTAACGGTCTCAATGGCTGTTAACTCCCAGCTAGATTGTACTCAAATAAATAGCTTTCTATCGGGAGTCAGCAAATGGTCTGAGTCTAACGGTCTTAAACTGAATCCTTCTAAGTGTCAAACTGTTGATTTCAGCTTAAGATGTAAACGACAGTTAAAAGAAGTCATCGATTCTCATGACACTTGTAAAATTGACGACAATGATATAGGAATCAAATCAGAAATTAAGTATCTTGGACTCATTCTCTCTTCGGATCTCTCCTGGTCTTCCCATGTCTTAGCAATCTCCAGTAAAATATTCCGCCTGACATTTTACATTAAGAAGTTAAGACACTCGGGTATAACTCAACCCCTCCTCTTACAGTTCATAAACTCTTGCATCCTACCTATTCTTCTTTATTGTTCACCCTTATTCTTTCCTGGTTTGCTTTAAAAAGACTGTGTCACAATTCGTAGAATGCTGAAGAGTGTCAGTAGGGTGAGTGGTGTCCCAGCGGACCACATAGTTAACGTCGTTGTCGATAGGCACTTGACTTCGTGCAATAAATTTACTAAAAGGATGTTTTCTGACTTGGAGCATCCACTTTACCTTCAGCCTTCACCTTGCATCTCCTCAGGTAGAAACAAGGAGTAACTTCAGAAAACTGTATGCTCGCACGTCTAAGTATAAAAATTCTATGACGCCATACTGGGCACGTATTTTATGTGATGAAAATAGTGTCAGGCGACAATTAACTAACCTTTTTTCATCTAGTAAATAAACAATTTCCTCCATCCATCCTTATATACCTTCAAGTTGTACTTTTATTATTTCTATTATATTTATGGTCCTGTTACTTCTTTCTTTTACTCTCATAATTGCAAACACCAACTTACCTCCATGACGGCAGTAATCTTTGTTTTTCCCCTTACCATATCATGTAAAGAGGATAT